TTATATTACTATAGGAAGATTTTAATATATTTTTATAAGTTTATATAGTAATATTAGGAAAATATTTATTAAGAGAATTTAATATATTTATTTATATCTTTAATATTATTAGTAAGATATTTAGCTTATACTTAGCTAGATCTAAGATCTTAATAAAATTAATAATCTATTTTAGCTTAGGAAAAGAAAATAAAAAATATAAGATTTTTAAAATATATTTTTGATCTTAAAAGTCTTTCTAAACTATAACTAAACCTATTTTTTATATAAGAAGGAGGCCTTATAGAAAAAAGATAGGTTATTTAGCTGTCTTCTAGTTAGTAAGTTATATATAAAACTTTAGGGGTAGAATTTAGTATCTAGTATACCTTAAATAAAAATATTATAAAAAACTATTTATATAAAGATAAGACTCTTCTATAAGGGGTATTAATTAGTTATCTAGCTATTTATATATATCTATATAGAAACTCTAAAAAAAAGCAAACCTTTACAGATCAACCACATAGCTAAAATTAAATACTCTAAGCCTACTAAATTAAAATAATCATAATATCTCTAATACTTAAATAAAGCTAACTATATCCTTATATAGCTATTTCTACCTATACTATATAAGTCAAACTACTAGAAAGCTAAGCAAATAGTACTAGTTATTAGCTAACTATACTTATTTATAATAAAGCAATACTTTTTTCTACTAATAATTTTAATAATACCTAGTATTTTAAACTCTTACTAAACTATTAGATTAATAATACCTATATTAGCCCCTCTATAGATAACTATCTAGTTTACTTATAATTTCTAATACTACCTTATTAAATTTAAGCTTTCCTATTTATTTCCTAGTATATATAATATTAAAACTACTATTAAGCTATTATATTATTTTAAATTATACTAGTAATTCTCTATATATATTAATATAGTTAGTTTAGTCTAATAAATCTCCCTTTTTTTCCCTTCCTAATTTTTTTCTTATTTTAATATTAAATTTCCCTACTACTTTAGATAAAATAATTTTAATATTATTACCTATTTAAGCTATTTATATTACTATTATTAATATAGTAACTTTTATAAATATTTTCCTTTCTCTATCCCCTTTACTTATATATATATTATTTTAGATACTAAAAGTATAAGATTATACTTCCTAAAGTAGCTTATAGCTTTCTCTAGTAAATACTTATCCCTATACCTATACCTTTACTATATTACTATTATTAACTAAGCCCTATACTATAAGGACTACTCCCCTATTAGCTTTAATTATATATTTAATAAACTAAAAGCTAAGAGATTTAATTCTCTTAAGATCTCTAAAATTATTAAGTACTTATCTATAGTATTAGGTAAAGTAATTACTATTAAGAATACTAGTTTAAAGTAGTTAGCTAAGTTATACTTATTATTCCTTAAGAAGAGAATTAGTATTATAATACTAAATAAGAAGGTATTCTTAAGATTATATAAGCTATAGGAAGATATCTTTACTACTACTTTCTTAATAGGGTCCTTTATTTATTATAAGTTATCTATTAATACTAAGATACCTATTATATTAACTTTTAATAATATAATTAATATAGGTAATTAAATTACTTATATTAAAAGTATATTTAATAGTATATTATTATTCCTATTTAATTCCTTTATATTAGTAATCTAGAATTAAAGTAAGGGTAAAAGTAATAGTAAATAGTCTACTTAAATCTAATATATAAAAAAGTTTAGATTTACTAAGTTAGATCTATAAGATAATTTAAATAGGTTAGATATTACCTATAAGATTATTATCCTTGCCTAACTAGTAAAGTTACTTATTAAGTTACCTATATCCTTCTCTATATAGAGCTTAATCTTTAAAAAGCTTAAGTCTATATCTAATAGTAATAAGTTTCTTAGATAATTTACTAACTTTAACTATTAGATAGAAAAAGAGAGAAGGGTAGTAGCTAAAGAGAATAAGGTTATTTAGTTTATTAGGAGTATAGATATAATATATAAGTAGGCTAAGGTTAGTATTAAGTAATTTAACTAGTTATATCCTATTACACTTTTATAGGAGAGTAATAATATAATTAGCTTCTATATAAAATGTTATAGTAGCCTACTATTAACGATTTGTAGGGCTAGTATTAGTAGTGAGGTTACTGCTATAGGTATGCTATCTGATTTTCTTAAGGTGCTCTAATAGGTTTATAGATAGTTTGATTATTAATACAATGAGGCTTAAAAGACGAAGTTAGATAGAGAGCTTATATGAAATTGCACTTCGATACTGTCTACTTTATTATAGCTTACTTAATCAAGTATTACCTCAGGGATTTATATTTAGTATTGAGTTTACTTAAAAGAAATTACACTAGCTAGAGGTATTATCGAGAGCTGGAACTTCAAATTTATGGCGCCCCTGCCCAAGGTAGTAAACCATCCCGAACAAAATCCAGCCAGCCATCACCACTGTAGAATAGTTCATATTCTGAGCTGTTACAGGAATAGTTAAGGGAAAGGTGCTGAAGAATATAGCAATAGCAATCCACAGGAGGCTGACTACATTTGTAACGACGCCAACACCAGAGGGTAGACGGAAGGGACCGAAGCCTCCACTGTGTAAGGAAGAGCGGCCATAGATAAGCATGTAAATAATAGGCAGGCCATAAGACAAGTATAATCCGATAATGGCCATGGACAAAATAGCGTTGAATGCAGTGGAGTTCCCAATGTAAATAAGGCCGAGAAGAAATTGTAGAGAGACGACTACGGCGACTGCTTGGACAGGGACCTTCGTCTTCTTATTTACCGAGCTTATATATGAGTCGAAGGGCGTTGCTTTATCGCGAGCAAATGCCCAGAGAGTCCGGGACGTAGATGTTACTCCAGCAATGGCGGCAGCAGTGGCGATGATGACCGGCATGAGAGACATAATTGTTGCTCCCACTCTCGAATTGGCGGTTTCGAGGTATATTTGCATGAATGGGAATCCTGTCGGTGTCTCCAGGAGAGACTCGAGGGAGCCAGCGGAATAGAGCAGAACGACGCAATATGCCAAACCGATCAGACCGTTGACGACGACGCTGCCTACCATGGCCAGGGGGACGTTCCGGCTGGCATTCGGCAGCTCCTCAGATAAATGGCAAGCGGCATCGTACCTATGTAGAAAATAAATAGTTAGAAATATGTTCCCAAGAATACCTTAACCTCGTCACCTACCCCAGAAAGGGATAAACGGCGCTCTGTAGTCCCACTAGCCATGAGATAGCGCTGCTTTCCCATCCGCTGCTGTTGACAACCTCAGTAAAAACAAAGCTGGATGTATTTTTGGAGGACATGGCGCCAAGTACGATAATAATGGCCACAAAGGCAGAAATATGGATGACACCTAAACTCTGGCGATTAGTTCTGGACTTGTAATGATACGAGCCACTGTATTCTCACTTACCTGATAACAGATTGATCTGAGGCATCAACTTCATTCCCCAAAGATTGAGAGCGCCCGCGTAAGCCAAAACAGCCCAGTAGAAGAGCATACCCTGCCAACGAGTAGGTATATAGTCGTCATGGTTCAAAACGATTAAAGCCTGGGCCTGGAGACCCGCAGCAAACGCTGCTGAAGCCGTCAAGATAATCTGTCCTCCTATAGATATCCACCCAGTTACCCAAGCGGCAGCGGATCTCGTAGACGCTGGGCAAAGAGCGGCCACCCAATGGTATTGTCCTGGGTTCCACAGGTCAGCGTATCATGTCCTACCAGGTCGGGAACATTTGACCTACCGCCTGCCGTTGGATAAATAGAAGCAATTTCGCCAAGGGAACAGGCAATGCAGACTGTGCATACGAAAGACAGTATGCTGGCATCCAAATTAACCACTTCATAGTCTGCAAGGGGAGAGAGAGAATCAAGAAAGACGGAACATACTAGTTGTAGAAGAGACATGGGGGGCCGCCACTAATAAGGGCAGCGGCAATGACAGTGGACAATGCCTCCCAAGTGGCCATCAAGCAAAGACAGAGCGACCCAAGGGTTAAGATGGAGAATCGCCGAGTGAGTTCTTGGGTATGACCCAACTGGGCCAGCCGCTCCTCGTCACTTGCAAAGCATACTTCATGCGATGGCACCTTTTCGAGGTGCTGGGTGACCTGGATGTCGATTTTATTGGGCTGCAAGTCGTTTGACATTTCTAAAGATTCCGAACTCAGATTTGAAGAACTGATATTACTTAAGGAACTCAGGAAGAAGGGGATTGACGCACAGCGTTTCTTTTTAATAATCGTTCAGCTTACATTGGTGTCTGAGATGTGATGTGTTATCTAGGAGCTCACTTATCTCGGAACGGATTCCTGAAGCAGTTTAATCGATGCCGCAAAATCCGGGGTAAATGTGGGTCTGGGGTAGAGAGAGTTGGGGGGTTGCATTGAGACCCAATCTGGAAAAGTGTGACGCTACTGTCTCGAGGACGGGCAAACGAGAGCGTTATCTAGGAGAGTCCTCCCTGTCGAATGCCGGAAATCTCAAAGAATTTCCGAGAGCCGAGCGAAAATTTCCGAGCAGATAAGCAGTTCAGCCTATCAAATATGTGACGTGCGTCGGTCTTTGGGTGCATACTTATGAGTGGGAGCAAGCTTGGAACAGGCAATGATAAGAGGATTGTTTGATCATTGCGTGCGACTTCTTGGATGGCCCAGAGACAGAAGAAAAGCAAGCTTTCCCCAACTTAAAGAATGATGCATCGTATGAGATGGGGACTGGAAGTGGGGTTGAGCCGTTGTCATGACCTCGGAACGCGGAATCTCCACCGAGCTCCGCCGGATCATTAATTCAGGTCTAGTGGTAATAAGAACAGTTCCATTTAACCCGAGATATAATAGAGACAAAACAAAGCTCTACGCAGCTATCATCCTTATTAAAATAACGGCAAGATTATTCCTCCCTGCTTTCGCCAGCCTCATAGGCCACTAGTAACCAGGCCTTGTCCAGCACCACAGTTTGAAAAATGCACGTCAGCCGGGAGGGTCATCTCTGGACGCCAAGTGCCGGCCTCCAACAGGGTCTTCCGTCCATTGGTGTTATTGAGCCTTCATCCAACCGGCCAGCCGACAAAATCCATGACGCTGTAGTGATCGGTGCAGGCTACGCTGGCTTAATAGCAGCGCGTGACCTTACTACAGCCGGATACGATGTGCTTCTCCTTGAAGGCAGAGACCGCATTGGCGGACGAACGTGGTCCGCTGATATTGAAGGCTATCCTTACGAAATGGGGGGAACTTGGGTCCATTGGAACCAACCATTTGTTTGGAGAGAGCTGGCTAGGTACAGCATGAGCGACGACCTTGAGATTTCACCCATCGCCGGTCAAGGACTTGAAGACACTTGGGTCAACCGTTCAAATGGCAGCACAACGAAACTCGGCTCTCAAAAGGAGGTATTTATTTTCGAGCTCACTCTCTCTACCTATCTTTTTTTTTTTTTTTTTTTTTTTTTTTTTTTTATTTTATAACTAACGTGCTAATTGAAGTGTTCCTAGTTCGACATCTTAGAATCGGCAGTCAAAAAGTTTGTTAATGTTGATGGAAAGTTCGGCCGAGAAGCCATTCCTTTCCCGCACAATGCGCACCACAACCCTGTTATAGGCGAGTACGACAAACTTTCTTTCGCCAATCGACTCGCCCAGATTGAAGACGATTTGACACCCATTGAGCGTGAAGTACTTGAGATATTTCTCTCTGTGACCTCCGGTGGTACGATGGAGGAGTCAAGTTTCTTTGACATGCTTCGATGGTGGGCCCTCAACAACTACGATATGCTCATGTTTAAAGAGATGTGTCTTACATTTAAGCTCAAGGATGGGCAGTCAAAATTGGCCCGACAGATCTTCGATGAAGCTAGTGCGACGGGGAAGCTCACCTACCAATTTAGTGCCCCAGTAGCCATTGTCGAAGACCAGGGAAGCTATGTTGTGGTCACAACTCGGTTGGGCGTCCAATATCAAGCCAAGCGGGCAATTTCGACAATCCCGCTCAATGTGTTGAAGGATGTCACATTCAAGCCCGACCTACTTCCAGGAAAGCGGGCGGCCTCGGAGATGGGCCACGCTAACCATTGTGTCAAGGTCCACGCTGAAGTGGCTAATCCAGCTCTTCGGACCTTTAGTGGCTGGAACAAAGGCGGTTTGGGTATGGCTTTCGGCGACGGCACCACGCCAGCGGGAAACACCCACGTTGTGGCTTTTGGATGCTCGTACCCCGATCTCCGTCTCGAGCCTACGGCCGACGCTGGGCAGAAGGCCTTGGCGGCCATGGTTGCCTTTGCGCCAACGCTGTTCGAGGACATTCGACGACTTGTATTCCACGACTGGAACACTGACGAGTTCGCCTTAGGCACGTGGGAGTTCCTGCGTCCCGGCATGGCAACAGAATACCTAGATGTTTTGAAAGCGCGCCAAGGCAATATTTTGTTTGCCAGTGCCGACTGGGCTAAGGGCTGGAGGGGTTTCATTGACGGAGCAATTGAAGATGGAGCCCGAGTTGCAAAGGAACTTGGCGGCGAGCTTGGTCACTCTCAGCATACACTTCCGTTGCGCGTTGCTGGAAATGATGGATAGGTTATCGGATTGCGACTGAGTTCTGAGAGAGTTGCTTTGCTCGGCCGGAGAGATGTAGTGAAGAAATAACCGTCTTAAATCTAAAATCTTATCACCTACAAAAATGATCGAGGGGGGAATTTCATCAAGCTTTTTAAGATGGGTGTCCGGTTCTAGCCTAGTACCGAGCTTAATCTTACCTGCCAGTAGGCTCAGTTGGTTTTTTTTCTTAGCACCATGAAACATCTTTGTGAACTTCAAATTCGCTTCTGAAGAGGAAACTCGATCCAGCTCTCACCCACAGTTTGGGCAGCAGAAAGTTCCATGAAATCGCTCGTGGCTGCGTTTTCTGGGGCAGCACCGAACAGAGCTACACGGAATCAAGGTACAAACGCAACAAGGATAACGCCTTCAGGAGCTCTTCCATGCCCAGCCCAGAGGCACCCTCCTATTGGGATTGTACTGTTGGCTCATGAACACTCGGCCCAATGGGTGGCATCTGTGCGATCGGAAACTGATCGGAAATGTATCAAATGGTTCCAGGTGACCACCTCCAACTGGTTTCGGAGAATAGAAGTGTCCATGCGTGCTCCTGTGCAATCGCTGCGGAATCGGGGCAGTCACTTCCGGCGCTATTTTCTTCTTTAAAGCCAAGGCGAGTTGTTCAGTCCCTTAATACTCCAGAAAATGGGCATATTATTCCTCCGTAATTTTGCCATCCATCCATTGGGACGTTTTGATCACGATGAGCCAGCCGATTACTCGTATTACATTGTTCAAGATTCCGCGGGAGGAGGACCAGAAAAAGGTTCTCGATTTCTACAAAAGCATGCCTCAAAAGGCTATCAAGGTTCGCATTATAACTTTCCAATCATGCTTTCAGGCCATCTAATTCTCCTTAGGATGGAAAACCCTATATTCGTTCGGCGAAAGCAGGAAACGTAAAACCCGATCAACGTGCACAAGGATTCACAGTCGCCGCGATTTCTGTCTTTGAATCTGTGGAAGACATGGAGTTCTACGACGACCAATGCGCTGCTCATGCTGAGCTAAAAAGTTTTGCCAAGGGTGTACATCAAGGATTCGCAATGGTTTACTTCTAAAACCGCCTGTGGTAGTCTTCACTACATATATTTAGAAGAGTCTATTAATACCTCGTACGAAACATCCGACGGCATCGCTATCTCATGTCGAAGCTGGAGGGGACATTCCCAACTAACTCGTCCTAAATGAGCCACTGAAACCGCCGCGACACCTCACTTCCCATACCGTCCATAAAGTCTACTTCATCAGCATTATAAGGATGAGGAAGTAAAGATGTGGGCAACTGCTGGTGCCCTTGCTTAAATGCATCGAATAGGCTTATAAGGTCACTTCCGATCTGGGAAATGTCGGGCACTAAGCCAGTGACATCGAAGTCCGGTACCAAGTAATTCTCATCCATCCCTCTAAGATGGACACCATCGTTCCCTAGGACGGGTCTTTCAGCTTCGATCAACCCTGTGGCACCTAGGTTTTGATAGTGAGTTGGGCTCAAAGTGGAAATGGGGCTGCCCCCCGTTGACAAGTTAGAATCCTGGCCTTGTTCTGTTCGTTGCAGGCCGAGACGCTTTAGTCGCGGGAGCAGGCCGCGAATACTTTTCCACAGTCTCCTGCTAATCAAACTACAGTGAGATAAACCTCTCACAAGCTCCACTGCGTCGACGAAGCTCTTCCTGCAAGGGCCGGCGAAGACTTCTGGCGCATGGCACACCGCGAGGAAGATGATTGCTAAAGAGCTGAGCAAGAAATAGTTGAAAGCATTCTGCTGGAGTGAGTAAATGTCCGTCGTTGCATTGAGGTGCATCAGAACCTGGATGCTATCGAGAGCAATATCCACGACCAGAGAGGCCTTTGGGAGGTTACTGGAAATGCTAGCCGGACTTAGAAGGTAGTGCCGATGGATGAGGCAACGCGTGTGGTTTCCGCGTAGGTAGAGAAGGGCACGGAGCCGATGAAGGACAGTCGGCTGAGAGCGTGGTGCGAGCCCGAGACGAGGATGCCGTAAACGAAGATGAGACGGGATTGACTCTATCCAATCGAGAGTGCTAGAATCGAGATCTATGACAGTATCTTCTGGAATATGCTGGCTTGACGATTTAAATGGTGGGATCGCGTTCCACAGTTTAGAACACAGCCGGCCGTATCCCACCATGCACTTGACATAGGGAAAGTCTTCGTCCTGGATAGAGACTTAGAAGGTCCACTCTTCTCATGTACATCACACATGAGTTTGTTTGACTTACTGGCTCAGGCAACTCGGGATCAATGTCTCGATCAACGAGCGCAAAGGAAAGGCTGGTACCAAAACTCCAGCGGCGGTCGAGGACATATACACACCAAAACACTCTGGTGGCGAGAGTGCGAGACTTTCGATCCTTGAAATTATCGAAGAGACTGTCTCTACGATGCAGGCCCATCTCGAGAGCCTCTCGTGCAGCAACACCGATCGCCCTCCATGCCAGCAACTCTTCGTCAATGTGAAAGTAGTAAATGCTCTGAAGCTGTTTATCAGCGCGGCCTTGAAAAGGCAATGTAGGGGTGGGAAATAGCTACCAGTGTTACCAGAACCTGAATCTTGTCCAATCCAACATCTGAGCATGATATCCTTGAGATACCTCGCTCAACTGAGTCGATTATTGCAGCGCTCATTTCAGTCTTGCCATGCGATTCCAGAACAATACCTGTCGCTACTGCGATTTTGACCAGGTCTACGTCCCTTGAGGTCACCGTGGCCTGCGTAGAGTCGTATCTGTCGCCATCTATTAATCGACCAGATCTTATGCAATTGAGGATATGCTCCGCGTGGGATATCTTTTCCGCCATGTCGAAACATGGGTAAACCGATTCGACCTCTTCGCGCCAGACCTCTACGAGTCTAGTGACTTCAGAAGCTGTGCAAGTCGACCAGAATTGCTCAGAAGTCTGAGGCACAGTTCCCTCCTTGGGGATATCGGTCGGGGACTGAGCACCGCTAGGAGGAATGGACTCGCAAACGGGAAACCCCATGCGGGTCAAAGAACGTTCGCCAATGATAATTCCGAATGCTGGCCTTGTGGGTCCGACGAATGGCAGTCCTTTTGGCTCTTGGCTCCTTTGAGAACTGGCTGGAGACTGGACAAGTGTGCCCCCCCGTGAAGATGACGAACTCGACGGGACGCCCCGTGTCGGAGGACTGGAATTTCTTAGAGCCTCCACGGCTCCAGCCAGCTCCATGACCTGCCTGCGAAGCTGGCCCACTTCCTTGCTGAGGGTTTCGTAGTTCAGTTGGCTTATTGGAGTATCTTTCAGCAGGAATAACTCGGTTATATCTAGGGTGCGGATATTTACCTCTCAGCCTTATTCTTATTTGCCGGGGATGGCTCCCTAGTGTAGACACAAGGCAGCCCATTGTCGACGCAGCGTTTGCAGCCGCTCTCATCATTCAAAGGATTACACTTGAGCTTCCTCTTCTTGCATTCTTCGCTGTAATAAACGCCGTGTAAGCAATGTGTCTGGTACGCCACTTGATCCCATGGGAGCCCCTGCCTACCACGCAACGGAGGTATATTTGCCCCGCTTGGGACGTCGAGGTTGATTCTCGCCTGAAGCCGGCCGTCTCCGGTCCCGGGTTGTGACCGTATCCGGTACTGCCGTTACTGGACAATTGTCCTCCATGTCTATTGGCTTCGGGGGGTGGCGGAAATTGTTGTTGAGAAAACAGACATTTCCGAGAGAACTGGAGAAAAGAAGAGGAGTGGGGTTTGGATTGATATGGGGTTGACATGGGCGCCTTATTTCGCCGCGTCCTAATTAAGCTTTCCATCGGAACTGTTCCGACATTCCGAGACTTCATGCCAGCCAAGCACAAGCTCCATCATGCAAACTTGTCACGGCGATGACCGCGGGGAAATCTTTCGGGTAGGACGAGTCGAATAATCACCGTGGAAGTAATCATGGAGAAGCCGCCTACTTTTAAAAAAGCCTCATCAGCGCTTTTTGGCGGGCTTGTTTGTCTTCCCTGTGATGCCGAAGACCGTTAATTCCACCTTTTCGAACAGCTTATCGACGTTGTAATCATGACTATCGCAGACCTCATCCTATCCCTGAACGACCAAATTCGGGACCATGCAGGTCGATCACTCCTCGTGTCCTTTTTTATTGCTCCTGTCGCGTACCTTTTCGTCAACGAGATAATCCGCCATAACGCACGGATTGACAATTTGAAAGGCCCTTCTGGGTTCCCCCTCGTTGGAAATATTTGGGACATTCGTACTAACGCAGCCGAAAAGTATCGCGAGTGGGCCAAAAAGTTTGGTCCGGTATACCAGATCCAACTCGGCAACATTCCCGTCATAGTTGTCAACTCGGCGGCTGCCGCCAGGGAGCTCTTCGGGAAGAATGGTCAGGCGCTCAGCTCAAGACCAGAGTTCTACACTTTCCACAAAGTACGATTTCCATTCCCTTGCCGGCTGTGTAGTTAATGAAATTGACCAAACCTCAGGTCGTCTCTGATACTGCCGGAACGACGATTGGTACATCGCCCTACAGCGACTCGCTCAAGCGGCGACGCAAAGGCGCTGCATCGGCGTTGAACCGCCCCTCTGTGGCAACATACGTTCCTCATCTCAACATTGAGACTCTCGACTTTATCAAAGAACTTTACACAGACGGAAAAGTTGGCGAGGTCCCCATCGATCCCATGCCCATGATCCAAAGGCTCTCGCTATCTCTTGCCCTTACGCTCAACTGGGGCATTCGTCTGAAGAGCAGAGAAGACGATCTTTTTGGCGAGATTACTCATGTTGAGGAGGAAATCAGTCGCTTCCGATCCACCACCGGCAACCTCCAGGACTACATTCCACTTCTCCGCCTGAATCCTGTCAACTTCCACTCTGCCAAGGCTCGGGAGATGCGAAGACGACGTGATGCCTATCTATCCTCGCTTAATAGAGGCCTCGATGAGCGCATCGCTAAGGGAACCTATAAGCCATGCATCCAGGCAAATGTCATTTTGGATAAAGAGGCAAAGTTAAACGAGGATGAGCTCACATCAATTAGCTTAACTATGCTTTCCGGCGGCCTCGATACTATTACGACCCTTTTAGCCTGGTTCATTGCTTATCTATCCCAGCATCCGGAGATCCAGGACAAGGCCGTTTCCGAAATCCGCAAGCTCTACGCTGAAGACCAACCGATGTGTGATGTGGAGGACGATCAGAAATGCCAATATATCGTCGCTCTGGTGCGTGAGTCTTTAAGATACTTCACGGTCCTGCGACTCGCTTTACCCCGAGCCACAATTCAGGATATTGTCTACGGCGGAGTCTCCATTCCGAAAGGCACCGTTGTATTTTTAAACGCTTGGGCTTGTAATATGGGTAGGTACACACCGATGCTTTGATGCCATGCGCTAACATTTAACCAAGACGCGGAAGTATGGGAGGACCCGGAAGTGTTCCGCCCCGAAAGATGGATTGAACAACCGGACGCTCCACTGTTCACGTATGGCATTGGCTACCGCATGTGCGCCGGGTCTCTGCTAGCAAACCGGGAACTGTACCTCATATTCATGAGGCTCTTGAACAGTTTCCGGATTGAAAAACATGACGAAGTTGATTGCCATCCAGTGAGGGGAAACGCAGACCCAACCAGTTTGGTGGCAATGCCGAAACGCTACAGATCTAGATTTGTTCCTCGGCACCCGCAGGCTTTGGCCAAAGCTTTGGAGGTTGGTGAATGACGACAGGCCACAGTGAAACAACCGAGCCCGACCATTTAGAGAACACACGGCAATGTACGGTAGTGGTAGAAGAAAATTGGCACAATGAAAATTTTCACGTATTTGTATCCCTACATACAAGGGCTTGGTCATGCTTGTGGTAACGTAGTCTTTAGAAGGATTAGGGAGTCGTTATGTGCCAAATAGCATGTCAGTCGAGTATATGTCCTTCGATTTCACGCTTTGCGAAGATAAACTCGGCTTCACAATTCGATCACCGATGCTGACCTTGGTCCGTCTCTGTATTCACTAGTGCAACCCCTTCATGCCTTTTCCAGTCAAGTAGTCTAAAGTGAAAGTCTAGACCTTCGCATAATACAACACGGAACTAAACGGATCTATTCAAACATGATAAATTCTATCTCTAAATCAGGCAGCCGATATGAAAGCACGTTCGTGATTCCAGGCGCTTGGAAAACAGTTGAACGACGGCTCTCCAAGTTTTAGATTACTCCAGTGGGGGCAATATTTGCCCATGGCACTCACCAAACCCAATGCAGTCGTCGCCATCAGAACCAGCCCAGCCACGTATTGTTACCGTGTCGCCATCTTCTAAGAATATTCGCTGCTCTCCACCTGGAAACTCGAGTGGTACCTTACCACCTTGTGTCTGTTCTAACATGCTGCCATACGTGCCGGGTTCAGACCCCGATATTGTGCCTGATCCCAGAAGGTCACCAGTCCTCAAGTTGCACCCAGAGACGGTGTGATGTGCGACCATCTGGGACCAGGACCAAAGTAGATTGCGTGAGGAGGTGCGCGTAATAGTCTTCTCGTTACCTGTGGCCGCTGCAGGGGTGGTCAACTTGAAGCGATTATCCGTTTAGAAGGGATGACTTACTGCGAATGGACACCTCTAGCTGAATATCGATAATATTATCTTTCTTCTCTTCTTGAAGATAAGGCTGCAGCGTCACGTCATTCGACAGGCCAGGCGCCTTGAAGGGCTCCAGGGAATCCGCCAGAATAACCCACGGGCTGACGGATGTGCCAAAGTTTTTCGCATTAAAAGGACCCAGCGGTACATACTCCCATTGCTGTATATCTCGAGCACTCCAATCATTCACGAGAACATAACCAAAAATGTGCTCTTCGGCTTCGCGCACTGGAATTGGCTTTCCAAGTTGATTCCCACGGCATATGAAGGCACCCAGCTCGAGTTCAATATCCAGCCTTCTTGACGCTCGAAAGATAGGAGCGCCGGCCCCCGGCCCAGGAAGGACCTGGCCACATGGACGATGGAGCGGTGTGCCAGAGACGACGACTGAACTGGCTCGGCCGTGGTACGCCACCGGGACATGATTATAGTTTGGGTTTAGAGCGTTGGCAGCGCCACGGAAGAGTGTGCCCACATTGTGCGCATGGTTGCGGCCGGCAAAGAAGTCGGTATAGTCTCCGATAGCGAGGGGAAGATGGGTCTGGACCTGGGAAAACGGGATGAGAGCAGAATTCTTCAGGTCTTCATTTATCATCAGAGTCTCTGGGTACGGTGTACCTTCCCGAAGGACGTCGCGAAGAAAAGTCCGGACTTCCCGGTGCGTAGGTCTACCCAGAGCTGCAAACGAATTCAGCGTGGGCTCAGAGAAGACTCCTAATCTCTCTTGAGGGAAACTTTGCAACTTCGTGAAGCCACCGCTATTGGCAAAGGCAGATAAATCGAGGACGTAGTCGCCAATTGCGACGGCTGGACGGGGCCGCGGCAATTTCGATGTTGAGATGATTCCAAAGGGAATATTTGCGAGGGAGAAATGGGTCCCCGCTGGGAGTGAAAGCCAGGATTTCATCCTGATACGTGAATGAATAAGAATTCTTTTTACACAAAGTTTCGATTAATATTAAATCTCACGAATCAAGTAATGTCCCAGATGGATAAATCAAGAACGTTAAAGAAAAAGGAATTAAGGGAGAGTACTTGGGCTGGAACATTGTAAGGTAGTATCAATTGAATTGCCTCTCCGGGAAGAGTGCCATGAAGGCAAAGAGGGGCCGCGTGCTCGGGATAAGTTCCGAGGTTTCAATAATATTGTCTTGAGTCTTCAAATTCCGATTTCCGCTCTCCTGTTGTCATCGGAATTGCGGAACTAGGCTTTTTCGATCGATTTGTCACGAAGTCGGCTGTAAGTGATGATGACACATGGAGCAGAGACGGATAAAGAAGACGTAGGTGAGAATAAAAGAAGACTGGGATATCTATCAGAAGATGTTGCGTATCTATGTTGGCCTGTGGTTGTCAAGTTTTACCATTCCAGCATATTCGCAATGCCAGCGACACACTTCAAAACGCCAGAAAGGTACAAGTACCTCAACGGTTTTGGCTCATTCCATGAGTACGTCATAAGGTCCAACCTGACTTGTGGGTATAAACTAAGCAATGTGATTAGATCCGAAGCCCTGGAGGGTGCCTTGCCTATCGGAGCCAACTCACCCCAGAAGCCACCATACGGCCTCTACGCTGAAAAGCTCTCGGGAACTGCATTCACGGCCCCTCGACATGAGAACCTTCAAACTTGGCTTTATCGTATTCTCCCTTCGGCCGCTCATGAACCCTTCCGAACCTACCCTGATAACGCCAGTGTCCACTTAATAACGCAACTCGATTATGTTCCAAACCAATTCCGATGGGACCCTTTCGACATGGACCCGGAAGCAGACTGGATCCATGGCCTCAAGCATTTAGCTGGAGCTGGTGACATGACTATGAAGACTGGGCTTGGCATATACGTCTTCGCTGCCGGACGTGATATGGATCGGGGCACAGCTATGTATTCCTCTGACGGTGATATGCTTATTGTAGCTCAACATGGAACTCTGGACATACAGACGGAGCTAGGTAGCCTTCTAGTGCGGCCAAACGAGATTGCGGTAATTCCCCGAGGAATCAGATACCGGGTAACTCTGCCAGAAGGGCCGGTTAGAGGCTACATTTTGGAGTTGTATCAAGGCCATTTCATCCTACCAGAGCTTGGCCCAATCGGCTCTAACTGCCTAGCGAACGCGAGGGACTTCCAAATACCCCTAGCGCGGTTCGACGAAGATACATCATCCACCTGGTCAGTTGTCAACAAATACAATGGAAAGCTCTATGTTGCTGAGCAGAATCATACCCCTTTCGACGTCGTTGCGTGGCACGGCAGGTGAGCATACAAAACACCTCCAGTCAGGACATTTCAATTCTAAGCTAACAAAATATCTCGTTAACTCTAGGTGTAAGTTTCCATAATGCTCCTTCTTTGTCAACGATTTCCCTCGTTCTAGGGTCACATTTCTCCTTGAACCACCGGAAGAGAGATCCTGAATGACAATGCGTCCCTAGCTAATGATCTTGAAGATTATCCATTCAAATATGATCTCGGCCGATTCTCCGTTATCGGGAGCGTCTCCTTCGATCATCCAGATCCTTCCATCTACACAGTGTTGACAGCGCCTTCAGATCACCCAGGCACAGCAATCGCCGACTTCGTCATCTTTCCTCCAAGATGGCTGGTGCAAGAGGAGACCTTCCGGCCGCCCTGGTACCACCGCAACACAATGTCTGAATTCATGGGACTGATCTCTGGGGAGTATGATGCTAAGGCAGGGGGAGGGTTCCAGGCTGGCGGGGCAAGCCTGCATAATGTCATGGCAGCGCATGGTCCTGATGCCAGCACTTTCGAGAAGGCAAGCGCGGCGGAGCTGAAGCCTCAGAAGATTGGCGTTGGAAGTATGGCTTTCATGTTTGAGAGTAGCTTGATGCTAGGCGTCACCGAATGGGGGAAAAAAACTTGCCTCAAAGTACAAGCCAGCTACAACCACGATAGTTGGGCAGCGTTACAGCCCCGCTTCAAGAGACCAGAATAATCACCTTAGATCCAGGTCAATGACAGAATTTCAATTTTATACATGCTATAATATGTATAGACCTTTTCTTTTAAGCCCTTCCCACTCATGCTTTCGGGTGGCCATCTCCTCCTAAGCAACACGCGCGCGCATACGATATTTCCGGCTTCGGCACTAAAACGGGCGTTGATGCAAATCAATACTAATTCGCAACATGATTCAATGTCGCTAGCTCGCTACACAGGTCCGATCTCATGCTATTGGCGTGTTCTGAGCTCCACAACAAGCGGCGTTGAAACTATCGATCCAGTTCGAGCCTTCCTAATCAAATAAGCTGCCTTTGGTGATGAGCATGGTCTCCTGTGATAAATAGCTGAGACTGTAGTGTTCACCCTCGATTAGCATTGGCCGCCTCCAGAATGTCGTTGTCTCAGATTGCAAACTCGATACAGCGTCTAATGTCTTGAGCCAGCGTTGTCGACGTTCCTCATTCCCGTTCCCTCGCACTCGATACGTTGGATCAGGAGAGCCCTAAGCTGATCTCGGACCACGTCTCGAATAAGTGGAAATAATCGAAGTTCACATCGACATCATCGTACTTGGCTTGGTACATTGCAGAGTAACCGTGATGCAGTAGCTAAATACGTCTAGACAATGGACTGGTCCTAATGACATAGTGTGGGAAGGATTGCGTCAATCAGTAAACTTGCTTCGAGATCTTCGCAGCTTTAATTCGAATGAACACACGCCCGAAGCCCTCTAAAATAAACAGACATAGCCGTTAATCAATGGAACTAACTAAGTGCCGAAATACACAAGAAGTCCATAAAAGGAAACCCCAGAATTCCTCAGAAAAGGCGCAAGGGACTAGTCAAATCAGAACCTCGTACAGTGAAGGGGACGCAAGAGAGTCTCTGGTCATGTGGATTGGAGAGGTCACCGTTGGTACTGGGGCATGGCCGCTCGCCTCCATTCTGCTAGATATAGTGCCTCGACTGACGTTGACAATGTGTCTACAGAAGTCGGTTCCGGTGCCTTTGGTCTCATGGCAGCATATCACCTGTCGTCGCCCGGGGGATATGGAAAGATCTTGGCTCTCGATCGGCAGATTGTACCAGCCAGAGTTCCTTTCTCATGTTTCTACATCTCGAGAATAAGCTCAGCCGAAGGCGCCAGAGGAATCATGCACCGATATATTACTATCATTCGATTCGACTGTGTTGACAAGGACGACATGAAGAGAGAATAGGATGCATAATTGTCCACATTACTTAGATACTAGGGAATACTCTTTTCCCCAGCCCCATTTGTCCTTGCAGGCTCCAAACAGTCGTGCAGTTCCAACAGTAGTGTCTGGACAGGGAGCACGACGGACCACGTAGTCAAGAGGGGGTTGGTTACCTCGGGTAAGACCGCGTCAAAATTCCCTGCTCTGCTGGCGAGCCGGAATCACCTTATCGCCTCATTATGCGACTTATTGCATCGAGGAACATGGCGGCCTTCTCTTCATTTTAAATCAATTGAGCTGACGCCAAGCGAAAAGCCACCTGCGAAATCTCCCCAATAAAGCTCGCAATCGTCTTGTCGCCCGGGGGAATAACTTGCGTGGCAAAGAAGCCTGCTACACCCCTCTCCCTGTTGGCGAACCACACAAGATTAGGCAGACCACCCCAAGTGAGCGTGCCCTTGGGCATGGTGCCAACGTCGCCCTCCGCATAAATTCCCCCGAGGCCCCAGTTGACTCCGTCAAACGACGAGGTGCCGGTCATGGCGGCGACCATGTCGGTGGATCCAAGCAAACCTTCCATGGAACGGCCGCCCTCGGCGAACTGGGGGCGGAACATTTCCCCCTCGACCGTCTCCTTCTTAAGAAGCGTAGGCTCGTCCTTGACCAAGTCCTTGAGAACCTGGAGGTAGTCGGATACACACGAGTAGAGACCGGCGCCGGCGCAATCCTCGGCGGCGTAGTCGGGCCAGACTTTTGTGGAATCCTTCAACAATCCGTCCTCTGTTCTCTGAGCCGTCGTGAGAAGGCGCTCCTTGATGTCACTGCGCCTCTCGAGCCGGAACGTGGTACTAGACATGCCGAGGGGCTTGAAGACGTTCTCTTGGAGGTATTCTTCCAGAGTGGTCTTGTTCAATCGCGCGACAAGCACACCGGCCCACTACAAAGGACTCGCAGATTAGAGGCTGAAGGAACTTTTCGGGGATCAATTGACTCACGTCGATGCCTCCGCTATAAACCCAGCCCTCACCCGGCTCGTTGAGCAACGGTGCCGAGTGCCCCTCGATGACAGTGCCGTTCATACTTTTGGGGTGCTCCCCTCTCGATTGACGCCAGGCCAATAACGTCGGATTAAAGGCGTCATATCCAAGGCCAGCGGAGTGGGTCAAGAGGTGACGGAGGGTGATCTTCTTAGTTGCTGGTGTCGTCGTGAAGGCAGGATCGTAAGCTCCGTCGGGAGCTTTGTTGATTACCTCGGGATTGGCGAGTTCGTGGAGAACGCGGCCCACAGGCTCATCGAGGGTGATTTGACCGCGTTCAACGCACTGCAACGCGGCGATAGTACCGATGAGCTTGGTGCACGAGGCGATCCAGAAAGTAGCGTTGGGATCAACGGCTGGCGCGTCGGGGCCTGTTCCGTCGTAGCCGAGGGCCTTATAGAAGAGCTCCTTTCCTATCCACATACAAGGAGAATCAGTATTTCACTCCATGGAGTCAATATGCCATTTTGTCTGGCTACCAACCATTCTTATCGACAGCGGCAGTAACGCAACCGTGGACGGTGCTGGAGCCACGGGCTGTACGCTCGGCAAACAGCTTGTCAAATTCAGACATGGCGGGGTTGGTCAATGACTACCTTGTCCTGAGTATTCCGGACTGTATAACAGAAAACGAGATCCGCCTAGTAACTTGGTAAACTTTCCCGAATGCGGTTCGAGGAAACCTGGGCGAAACCCGAGCCTCTTAAGTAGCTCTCCTTCCCCCGCCCCGCCTTCGGATTGTTGACGCCGAGGTCATGACCCCTGAGATCGGATTGTTGCGTTGCTGGCGCGGCGGCGCACGGGTAACCTTTGGCATGATTGCCGGAAAAGGACAAAGGGAGCGTAGTTAGTACCTACCCCACACGGGGTTAATCCAAAGCTCCATCGGCACTGACTCGTCCCTGGATGTGGCTGCATACGCGAGTGAGACAACTTTCTCAACTGCATTGGCGTGGGGAGATGGAGGTTGTGCATCATCGGCACTAGCGTTTTCCGTGCGGGGCTTAGACTTGCGGGAGTGTGGTTAAGCCCCCAAGGATCCTCACCTCGAACCCAGCCCACTTAAAAACGACGTTAGGTTGCCTCCTGACCGTGGTCCGGGCCATGGATGGCTAGATCTCCAGGTGCTGCATGAACTCGGCGACGAGAAAAGGAAATTAACGTGTAATCTGGTGCCCATATTGCGGTGGAAAGGATCCAGGCAGCAAAGTTACGATAGATCCACTTCTGCGGCATTTCACCACCCGCCGGTGGCTTTATTGGCCCGCCCAACCAGACTGCATTGCAGCTGGGATAGACCGGGTGCTAATAGCTTAAACGGGACGCAGTCACACAAATGCGATCTTGTGAATCAAGGTTGAACGTTACCATGCCCCATCAATTAGAGACATAGCTTTATTAACATGTATTCCCGTCTGTACCTTGCTGATAATTCGAGCCGATTAGAAAATGAACAACGCCCCGCCTTCCACTTCGATGTTCAGGTCCGTCCTGGTACCTCGATCATCAGAACATGATCATTCTGTTACTGCTAACCACGCTCTGAATACTCTTTTGGACGTTTTTGAACCGCGTACAGCCACACGACTCGCTCTCAAGGTGATTGATAATGCCAGCGAGCATGGTAAACTCCCTTCAGCATGCCCGGTTCGGACAATGGAATTGAGCCTGCTGATCTGTGGGGGTTTTCAGTCTAGTCTTTATACTTTGGCCTCCTCAGAGAGTATACTAGAGCATTCGGTTATATATGTCAGGAAGATGGATAGGAAACGTACGAACTGGGGAGTTCAAATGCTGGTTTAGGCTAGGCAACGCTCCGAAAAGGCGATGACAGAAATAGCACTCCAGCCTTGATGGTAGGAGTTGTACGAGTTGCTGGTTGCCTCGTACTGTGCAGAGCCATACCAGCCGATCATGTTCTTCGTAATAATACCGCCTGGGTCCTTATTACGTACGAACTTGAACTGGGTATCACGGCCCAGACCAACGGCGTTAGGGCACGAACCCGTCTCGACGTGGTGGGTAAGGCCCGTGGCCGTGGCGAAGCAGCCCTTGCAGAGGGGGCATTGTATCTGCTTGCCACGGTGGACGCGGGAATTGAGATGCTAGTAAATCGAGATTAATCAAGTGTGGTACGCGCAGTCAATTTGGGGGTTATCGTACCATCTTGAGGTTGTTATAGTTGGCAAAGGTCCGCTGACACACTCTCCGCAAACGTTGTGGTTTTCTTGCTCATGGTCGGTCCGACGATTGTCCGTGGGCCAAGTCTCGTCACACACTCCACATCCCCACGCAAAGTGGTTCAAGGCTTCCATGTGCTGAAACCGCCCCCGCTCAGAGTTGAGGCAGCGGAAGCAAGTGTCACACTCAAATTCAGGAGCAAGATGACCCGTGGAACGGAGGTGGTTGTCACGGGCTCGCCATCCAGCCGGGAAGAGTCTCTGGCACGTGCCGCATTCGAAGCTCATGGTGTTAAGTTGTTCGATTAATGAACTCGACCTCGAATGTTGCTGGTTGTTTGTTGAGATCAAGATGTGCGGTCGAGGCGTGACGGCGTTCTCAGCCGCACACTGTCGACCTTGTGTCCCCTTGGATGACCCATGACACATGATCATCTGCTCTCAATGTTTTTGTTCAGGCTTTTCAGCCGATGTTTCTCTAGGGTTAGTGGATGTGAAAGATGTGAAATACGATACGGAGCTGTTTTACTCTGTTGTAAATTCCAACTGTGTTTAACTGCGATGTCTGACAACGACTGGGTATAACAGCGCTCAAGTAAATAAGCATTCTTTTGGTTTACAAAGGCGGATCAGAGTACACGGAGGACGTGAAGTGGGGATCCTAAGCAATTTGGTTCCAGAGTCTAGTAGATTGTGTGGCGGCCCGTCAGAATGCCCGCGGGTGGGATGAGATTCCGTTGGCTACCCGTTCACCCAAATCTAACCAGAACGGTCAGGGCGATTGTGGCTACCAGCGACGAGAAATCTCTCAAAAGCATTAGCAACGCCCTTTGGCCTATTAAATTCCTTCAGGTAAATCGACCTCCCAGTTCTTACGCTGCTAGGGCTAACATCGAATGTGCGGACAGCACTCAACTATGAGGTTGATGACGAATAAGCAGCAGGTTTGCCACCAACTGGTTTTTTTTTTTTCCTTCGTTCTATATTAATCCATTCCTTCATATTTCAAGACAGATCCTCGTCAATATCTGTCCCGAATTCTTTCACAAGTCTGTTCATCTGTGTCAAAGGTATCTTAACATTCTTCAGCCTCTCCATAACACTCTCCCCTATTCGTGGGCGCCGGTCAGGCAGGACTCCCCGCGAGACATAGCGAGCTTTCCGGAGGTTTCTTTGGACTTGTGGAACAATAATTCGTTCTTCGTCCCAGAAAACGTAGCCCATCTCACGAAGGGGGTCGTACTTCAGATCGTTTCCGCCCGTCCAAGGCTTAGGATAATACCTGGAGAAATACCCACTTAAATATATTTCATGGTAAAACTCATCTCTGGAACGTCCAAAGGAAGAATATCCGACGTTTGGGTATGCTGGGTCATCGCGTCCGCCCGTATTGCTCTCACTGTCGGGACTCTGGAAAGAATTCTGCACCTCTCGTGAGGAATGCGCAAGGGCTTCTGGTAGGGAGTCCGTTTCGAAGATGCCAGCAACTCTAATCATATCCTTCCTTTGGTTAGCATCGCCATCTATCAACTTCAAGTTGAACTCCAAGCCGAATGATGCTAAGTTGCTGACGAAGGTGTCTTCACAAGTATGCGACTCGTCGAATATGAACAGGGCCCATATATCAAGATCATGGAAAGATACATATTTCTCCTGATCATGGTTTCCTTCCTGTTCCGTCTGTAGAGATGGACTGCCATCGGCTGTTCGTCCATCCCTGTGTTCCATAAGAAGGTTCGAGGATGGTCTGGCATTCAGCGCCCGGGCGCCCGGGCAGGTTACTGCGGCAAGGACGAATTGGTTTTTTAGGTCACTAAAAAAACCTTCCACGAGAGAGGCGAAGTAGTTGTGAATGCAGCTCAATTCCTCGACCTCCCATGGACACATGCGTCGAATAAATAACAGAAACTGGGCCAGACTTGGAATGAGGGACTCGTATGGCGGCCCGGTGTTAGTTGTGGGGAATATCCGGCAGTATAGTTCGTACCGGAAAAAAGCCCGGCGAATCCGCGTCCTCTCAGATGAAGACAGTGGAGTGGGCCGTAAGTTTTCGGTTGCGGGATTCGGACCATCGAGCGCTTCCAATCGAGCTGATGTGCGAAGGAAGTACATCTCCGTGAGCCTATCGATAGTATTAGAGAGATGGCAGATAGAAATGATTGATGAGCGTCTCAAGGGGACTGAAAATCCCATGTTGGAGAAGTATTGTTCAAGAAATGCCGCCGAGACTTCGATAGGTCTGGTCTCGGCAAGAATGTTAGGAACATTCGCTATAGCTTGCGCTTCGGGAAACACGATAGGCCCAAAGTCATTTTCCAAAACCGACAAAAGAATGGTGTTGCGACTCAAAAGAAAGCCGTGCAAGCAGCATGATGATGCCGATATGAGGGAATGTAGATCTCGTAGAGATTCGACGAAGAAGAGGGTGTTGCGGAGGAGCTCCGGCGGGAGGCGATGGAGATGTGTCATGTTGGATGCTTGCTTGGCCTTTGGGTCCAGAGTTTAGAGGAGAAGGATGGAAGGAAAGAAGCGGCGACTGAAGGTAAGAAATAAACACAAAGCTGGCCCTTGAGTGCTTTTAGCACGTGCGTCGATGTCGTTTTAGTCTGATGAAATTTGAAATAGCGTCACAACTTGAATTTTGCTAGTTCCTTGGAGACATTACATAATACTGTCCTTTTATCAGCGCTCCCCGCCAACTGATTGGGGTACCCTTTCAGGTTTTCATCAAGACAGCACCGCGTGGCAGGGAGGATAAGATAGAGATACGCGATTGATAGAAATGGCACCCAGAATACAACATTTAACCTTAACATAAATATACTTCTATGTTGCTGCTAAGCATACCGATTTTGAAATCACGGCGAGCCTAATAGTTGCTCTTCCAAATAGACCTGTAAGTGGGAGCTGGGCGGACTAGTCTCTATGAAGCATACACTAAATACAGGAGGGACTGGAATTTGACCATTGGTCACCGAGTTCTAGGTTCCTCTGCGTATTTGTGATCTCTGTCCATCTCACCACTAGAAACGACGGAACTCCGCATGACCCTTATCTGTCTTGGGCGAGTCGCCCAACCTGCGGCAATACGTAATCTCCACTCCGACGGTTCCGTACAAATCAAACCATTGAGGATCTGCATGCGGCTTAAAATGTGTCCGACCGACAGGGCCGTTGATTGACGGACAGAACTCCTGTTCTTTGTTGGCGCAGTCGTGGTAATATCGGATTTTGACACCGAGACAGTTCGGAGATAGGGGTTAATGTAAAGGAAGAGCAGGTGCGTAAGATCTGATACAGTAGTGGCTAATCTGTTTATGATCTATTAATCTAAGATGCGTCAATGGCGTGCATCCCCGTTATCCTCCCATTTCGAATCCAGAATTGCACGTCCTTCCACTACTTAGAAAGTCTAGAATTGGGCAAGATGGCTAATAAATTAGGGCCTTGGGTGGAAGGTTTCTAAAAAGATTCTTTCTTATCTCGGCGCTACGAGTGAACCTTAGTAGCATCACCTCGAAAAGGTCTCCAGGCTCCAAGAAATCAAGTTGGAAATGGAGCCGCTACTAGCTCAAGGAATGCGCCCCCCGGCTTGCATTTTCCTTTCCTTTTTTCCTTCTGCCTCTCACTTTACCTCAAAAGTCATTGTCCCCAGCCAATCGATAATCCATAGGCAGCGCAAATCCTGACCCGTCTCTGCCGTCATCACGCCTTAGCGGAACTCCGCCAAACTGCCTAAGCCGAGCGGACCTTTGTTTTGTGAAGCGGCGATAGGGCCTACTAATAGCGGGCCGTCGGATTTTATCACGATGTATTATGACCCATTGGTCCGGGTCGGGTTGTTGCTGACCACCATTTGTAAGCTTGATGTTCCATCGTTGTCTAGACTCGGGATGACTTGTCGCATAAGTGACTACTATACACAGGTCGGACATACCTGTTTCGCAGCGGACTTTACATATGCCCATGCCGACCTGAGTACCCAGTGCAGACGTGGCGATAATCCTGACAGACGGAACAAAGTTGCCCCTGCTTTGTCTTGTCTGTGGTGGACCACAGCAGGCACGCCATGTCGATATGGAGGGTTGCAGACCAATTTTAATTCATCCAACGCATCTCGGACGCAATAAACAAGCTCCATTTGTCAGCCCCTCATGAACACCGCACGTTCTTGGTAGGGCTGACTTAGACTGGGTCGAAGGATTTCGTGTCGTGTCATCATGATACATGCGGTTCTCCTATCCTCACCCTGTAATACTTAAGACACTCTGTGCCCTATCCCCCCATGGCTGGAATCCAAGTTAACAAACACCCTCTCTTTCCCCATCTAACAACCACACAGAAGCAACGTCGCAGGGGCTGGCAGTCACTACGCCTGTTACATAATGGAGTCAACAACAACAACCCTCGCTCCCCGACCCGACTCGGAGGCGACTCGGTCACTAGCGCCCTCGATCCAAGTTGGCACAGACGAAATCATACTCGAAAAAAGAAAAGAGAGGGATGGCAGGAGCAGCGAAGACGCCGCCGAAGGGACCACCGAAGAGATTCATGATGAAGAGTACCCTCATGGTTTTCGCCTCGCTGCCGTCGTCTTGGCTCTGGTCCTAAGCATATTTCTCGTCTCACTTGATATGGTAATATGGAAGAAATGAACTTATGCAGAATCCGCGGCTAATAGATTTACACCAGACCATTGTAGCCACCGCGATTCCTCGGATTACCGACCAGTTTCACAGCCTCGGCGACGTATCCTGGTACGGAGCCGCATTTTTCATGACGATTGCAGCCTTTCAATCGACTTGTATGTGCTTCCTTACTTTAACAGAGAAACCCTCACGTGTGGTAGTAACAGAGTTGCACATAGGGGGAAAGGCATACAAGTACTTCTCGCTGAAGCCTGCATTCCTCATTTCCATATTCATCTTTGAATTAGGAAGCCTGGTTTGCGGGGTTGCGCCAAACTCGAACACCCTCATTGCCGGGCGAGCTATTGCCGGAGCTGGGGCCGCGGGTATCGGCTCTGGAGCCTACACTTTAGTTGCCGTTTCCGCCCCTCCTCGGAGCCGACCTCTATACACCGGCATCATTGGGGCAGCCTATGGTATCGCAAGTGTCATCGGCCCATTGATCGGTGGTGCTTTCACGGACCATGTAAGTTGGCGATGGGCATTCTAGTATGTATACCTCGATCGCCTTGGAACGTTCATTACTCCAGAGTTAACCAGGTCCACAGTATTAATTTGCCTATTGGAGGCGTCTCCGCTGCCATCATTCTTGCCTTCTTCCAGACCCCACCTTCTTCAGTGCCCGTCAAGGCCAATCTTCGGGAAAAGGTCTTGCACATGGACCTCATTGGTACTGCCATGATAATGGGCGCTGTTATCTGCTTTATTCTCGCCCTGCAATGGGGTGGCCAAAGCAAGCCGTGGGATTCGTCCGAAGTTATCGGCCTCCTAGTTGGCTTTGTCGCTATTATCATTGCGTTTGCCGTCTGGGAGTGGTACCAGGGTGAACGGGCAATGATGAATCCGAGGATCCTAGGTGACAGAACCATCTACATCTCCTCCCTCTACATGTTTTTCTTCGCTGGTCCTTACTTTATTCTGGTTTATTACCTTCCCATATACTTCCAGTCCATAGACGATGCGAGCCCCACAAACTCGGGCATTCGCAATCTCCCGATCATCCTTTCAGTCTCACTCACTGTCATCCTTTCCGGGGCATCGATTTCGGCCACTGGGATCTACACCCCAATACTGGTCGCAGGTGCGGCCATTGCAACAGTTGCCGGCGGCCTTCTCTACACGCTGGATATTGGTACAAGTGCTGGGAAATGGATTGGTTACCAGATCGTGGCAGGTGTTGGATTTGGTGCCTCTTTCCAGATCCCCATCATTGTCACGCAAGCAACCGTTAGCCCCGCCGACCTTTCTACTGTTACAGCTATGGTCCTTTGTAAGTTGAAGCCCAATATACTTCCTAGCACAAAATACCTAATTCGAGAGTTATTGCACAGGTTTCCAAACTGTCGGAGGTTCATTTTTCCTCGCGGGAGCTCAGTCCGCCTTCTTGTCTGAGATGGTCAAGAGACTCCCAATGACTGCGCCAACAGTGGATCCAGCCTTAGTACTCGTGACTGGCGCCTCCAATCTGCGTGAGGTTTTCCCGGTGGATGTCCTGCCGGGAATTCTGATCGCATATATGCGAGGCATCAAGGTTACCTTCGCGTTGGCCCTTGCCGGTACCGGTGTTTCTTTTTTGCTGAGCTTCGGCAGCCGATGGTCCAGGCTTAACCCAAAGAATATTCAAGCTGGTGCCGCGTGAGAAATTGATACGCTCTTGGAAATTTACTTAATTCATGACATTAGACTAAGGATGCTGGGGGATACCTAGAAGGCCAATAGACACGGAGAAGTGGTCGGATCAGGCGTTGGCCAAAAGGCTGGCCGGGATGACGAGTTTACTGAGGATAGAAATAGATATAACGGCTTCCCTTTTTCATTTTTTATATATTTTTATTCTATTTTATTTTATTTTATTTTTATTTCTTTATTTATTCGTTCCCCCCCCCCCCCGAATCCAGCTCTTCTGCGTGGCGAGTATTAAGCTTGGTGAGCATGAATGAGGTAGGCGATTAGCTAAGCAATGACAAGCCGAGCGCCTGGTTGCCCTCTCAGTGTCCTAACTCCTGATCGTATGGTGTGGCGATGCGAGTCCTGAGAATCAACGGCTTCACCGGATCGGTGGGGAGAGATGTCCTTCGTGGATAATCTCTCATGGTGGCCTCATGATTTTGCCGTCTTATTAACAGAGTCAACCAAGCCAATCTTGTCCAAACACCCGATTTCCTTTTCAATTTCCCTGAATCACTCAGAGACCGGTCAATAACACATCCAGTATAGACGAAATAGAATATATATGCGGGGTAGCTCATTTTACCTACCAGAACAAGACGGAAACCCAATCTATTCCTTTGCCTTCCAAGACAATCCCCTCTCTGGTATATATAAATCCATAAGAACTCGCTGCGGCAATTGTTCAGCATGGCCCAGTAAGAAGGCAGGCCTCGCAGTTTATATGGAACTCAAAGAATCACTCATGGAGTAGAAATCACTTCTGCGATGGAGAGGTAACCACCAAAAAAAAAAAAAAAAAAAAAAAAAAAAAAAAAATCACGATGAAGGTTTTCGCGATCCTAGCTGTCTTAACCCCAGTTATTCTTGCTGCACCGCTCACGGCTGCAGAGGATCCTGGCTGCACCCGCGAAGCCCTCCTCGAAGCAGCCGATGCCTACGTCACGGCTCAAACAGAGGGTACCCTCGATGCTCTAGCTGATCTCTTAGCCGATGAATGGATCTACTGGGAAGACAACAAAGAGATTGACCCATCAAAAGCCGTTCTTACAACCAAATCCCTCAAGATCGACCACCAACGAAGCATCGCCGATGTCGTAGAGTGCGCATCCTATACCGAGCTCATTTCAGCGGATCCATCCAACCCATACGTCATCGGGACGCAGATTCGGCACGGCTCCGACTTCAAGATTACCAAGATTGATAGTGTTGCCTCGACAAAGAACTCTTGGTTGTTCGACTCGGCTAAGACGCTCGACTATGCTGTTAAGGAGGATTGGTTCGAGATTCCAGAGAGCGATAGGGATGACAGAGATGTAATTAAGGCCGCTGGCGACGCCTACATGGATATTTGGAGCAATGCTACTGCGGCTGCTGCCGTACCGTGGGGTGTGCCGTGCACGAGGTTGGAGGGTTCTGCATATACGGGAAGAGGAACGCCACAGGACTCCTGCGAAGTTGGGCTGCCATCAAATCACAACCAGGCACCCAACTCCAACAGACGATATGTGGTCGATGAGGTGATGGGCTCGGTGAACATTCTTTGCGTATGGGAGCATATGATGAATGCAGCTGATAGTCACGAGTTCAGACTGGAAAAGGGAAAGCTGCGATATGTCCATACCATGACTGTATGTGGCGGTCAAGTGTGCAGGTTGTGAGAGAATTATAATGATCCTGTTGCCTCAATTTCAGCCAGGCATTCAGGCTCGCGATCTTCCCCAGGAAACCAAGTCCTGCAACTGAGAGAGCGTTATCTGGTTATCTAGTTTGAGGGCTGATTAAATACGTCTGTATTTTGGAATCCCATGTACCTAGCGATAATAAAAACTAGCTCACTGGTGGAGATAACATCAATTGATCACTTGCAGCAAATCTGAACCATATGAAGCGGATGCCTCCTTTGACCTTTGGGACTCTTCAAGAGCGAAGCCAAGCCATTCTCTTCTTCATCCTGTACTTAAATAGGCACCAAGGACGATTCATTTGTGGGGTTATTACGGATACCTTGCTCCAAAAACAGGCTGTTCTCTGCTTCAACTATTCCACGGAGGGAAATGTTCCTTCTTCGTTCACCAGGGGTTGGTGATCAAGGCAGCCGCCACCCCAATTACTACCACTGCCAGATTAATGCCCTCTGCACTCTCAATAAGGCCATTTGCACCGTCTACCTCCCCCAACTTCCCAAGCTTTCAGACGTTACCTCGGAACCGGCTATCATAGTAAGGATTTGGACCGCAGAAAAACCGGCAACCCACCTCGCTTTAGCAATGCGCTGAGGCTGCGGATATTATGTATTTATGGGCTAGGGAGGAATATGTTGGCCACTCAATCACAACCAGATCAAGGCCATTCTCGATGAGAGTTGACTTCCTGTCATTGTTAGATACTACTCAGCTGACACGACACACTTCAGGTTAAGCCACAAGAAGGGCGCTTGCAATGGCGCATTGAGGCAATTTGACTTCTAAGTCTCCTGAATTGGAGTGGCGCTTTGATTAGGTAAGCAGTTTCCCAGCCACCTCCCTGCATCTGCGGACTCAGATGGTCCCCTGAGAAGGGTTAACACAACGCTTTTGAAACTCTCCACCAACATCCCACTCTTGGGGGAAATACTGGACAACGCCGTCACTTCAATTGAAACCGCCTCCCTTACAAATGGCCGATTACTGGATACCGGCCTCGGTCGCCGTTATTGCCGTCTTAACTTTCGGCATCCCCTTGTTCCTGGCCGAGTACTTCCCCTGGCAGAGCCTCTGGAAGCAGCGTCATGGCAGGCCTACTGTCACCACGAAGTCATACAAGGGCCGGACGGTACTGATCACCGGCGCAAACGGTGCGTTCGGATCGAGGGCTGCCAAACTCTTCGCTCATCGTGATGTCGAAACTCTTGTCCTCGTTGATGTCAAGGATTGTGGAGGTGTCAAGGAGGAAATCGAGGCAGAGCTGAGTGAGAAAAACAAGCCCAGGCCTAATATTCTCGTATGGCAAGTCGACATGATGTCCTTTGCAGGATGTCAGGAATTGGGAAAGAAGGCACGTGAGCTAGAGAACCTTGATCACGTCTTATTGACGGCAGGTATTCTGTCCTTCAACCGCCGCGAGTCACCTGAGGGTTGGGAAACTTGTGAGTAGTCTTTCTGGCCGCCGTCTCCAATCTCTCCACTGCTTGGAGATGAAGAATGCTAATTTGTAATTCGCCTCGGGATAGCGATACAAGTTAATTTCCTCTCCACCGCTCTCATCGCACTTCTCCTACTTCCGTTGCTCAAATCTTCCCCAACGAATCCGGCCCCTCCTGTCCTGACCTTCGTCACCACCTTCGGTATCTATCCGTCCTCCTTCACCATGTCCGTACCCAAGCGCGGGTCCTACCTCAAGCGTCTCAGCAACAACAAGGACGGCATGGAGCAGGCGCATCAATACGGCCGTTCCAAGGCCCTCCTACTCTACTTCGCCCGCGAGCTCGCAAATCAAACCTCAGCCGCCGCAGGCAACGGCATGCGCAAAGTGACCATCAACAGCGCGGATCCCGGCTCGGCATGGACGCCACTTACGAATCCGAACCAGGCGAAGCTGATTCCGAGGCTGATCATGAACTTCGGAGCAAGAGATCCACAAATCTGCGCGACGGCGTTGGTTAATGGAGTTTCGGCTTCGGCGGAAGGGCATGGGAAAATTATGCAGGATTTTGATACTGCATCGTAAGTTCTGAAATCTACGGTAATTAATTGGATGATCTCGTTCGGTGTTACTGATAGTTGTGCGGCAGATACCCGCCTTTCATGGAAAGGAAGAGTGGCCAAATGGCGCAGCGGCGTGTTTGGGAGGAGACGCGAAGCGAGTTTGAAGCTAAAGTCCCGGAGGTGAAAGCGGTGTATGAGATGTTGGAGAAGTGAACAAAGGCACAGCTGTGGCCGGTTTTACCCGATGACTACCCTGCCTGCGATATCGGCAGTGTATAAACATTCCCGCATTCTTCCTTTCGACACGTGTCGCTATAATTCTAATACAAATGGTAGTAATATTTCCCCCTCTGAACAGATTGACCACCAGCCTAGTACTCAAATCTCACGCTGTACAAGTTGAACGCTGTGCTACTATTAGTCGTAATGGACATTTTGGCACGACCTGGGCTGAAGCTGCCTCTGGAGATTCTTCAACTTATCATCGAGTCCCTAGTTCTAGGAAATCCAGGTACAATCCTGCCGCCGTCTGACGAGACAACCAAAGCACTCCTGGCCTGGACCCGGGTCTGTCGCGCGACTCACCAAATAACGTCCACGCTCCTGTGGCGCCATTGCTCATATATTGACTCACCGGAAAGGCTGGATGACTATTACCATGCGTTGATGCACTTATCACCGGATGATGCCCGTCGTCCAACGAACCTTTTTCTGGGTTTATACTGCGAATTAAGATACCCTGATGCTCATTCCGTCAGCCTCGATGCTTGGCCATGTTGGTTAAGGGGACTGGCACTTCCAGGAGGTCAAACCGATGATGAGATTGTTTGGGCAGTTGGAAACTTGCTCAGGGACCTTGCGTCGACCCTCAGGCGACTGGTGATCGAGATGCCACTGGAACAATTGAAGTGTCGTGAAGACATCGAGGAAGATGCCCGGGAGGACATGCTCTATTCATTGAGGCATGCATTCGCGGCTCTCGTCCATTTAGAGGAGTTTGTGAGTTGCAATGACCACTTCTCGTTTTCGACCCGGCGGGAAGTAGGGGAGACCGAGGTGTGGGCGACGTGTTGGCCAAAGCTACGGCGCCTGGCACTTCACAGCCCAGAACTGAGTGCGAGTTCAGAGATCTGGGGTCAGATGGTGCGGCTACCCAGGCTCGAGTTGGTGGTGTTTTCGTGCGACGACTCATTTGACGTCTTTACTGGGGCCGACATTAAGCAAGAATTGTTGCACGCTCTTGATGCGAATAATGCGGCGACGGGAGGCGTTCAAGTCCAGGGCGGGCGGAGGAAAATTCACCTAGTGATTGTGGATTGCTTTTGCTATGGGTATCAGGACCCGCACCCAACGACGACAGAGCCCGTGTCGACCTTCTTGATGTGACACGGACATGAGACACTGCTCAGATCTGGACAGGGATCCGGGCAGGAGACAGACCCATCGATGTCACGTTATCCTGGCTTAAACAGAATGCATTAAATGGCACGCTATGGGATGCTGCCTCTCAGCATCTCGTCGACTAGTACATCGACTCCGTCCTAATCAATGGGATTAAAGAAATTGAGCTGATCAACCCATATATCAGCACAAGTCCTTGAAAATATGCTCGCTACCTCGGGGTTGAAAGTTGTCCATGAAGGAATTTTCTCACCCTTCCATCTACCATCGAAGCCTTTGGTACGAAGTATAATCGGACGAGTTGCCTCTGCATTGAAATCGCCATTTTTAACGTGGATGACGCAAGACCATGCTCTTGGCAATCAATGAAGTTGAAAAGCGACAGGGTATCTCACAACTTCAAGCAAACCCTAAACCGCTTCCACGGTCAATACAACACGCAGCCCTCTATTCTATCTTAAGTATGTCATGTCCCAAGCTCTACAGTTACAAAGAATCGGGGAATTCATACAAAGTTCGCCTCCTCGCTGCGATCCTGAATATCGACCTCGAAATTGCCGAAGTTGACTTCCTGAACGATGAGCAACACTCGCCTCATTTCCTCGCGATAAATCCACGCGGGGAAGTTCCCACTCTTGTGGACGAGGGCAAGACCTTCGCCGATTCGTCATCTATCCTTGTTTGGCTTGCCGGCAAATACGGCGAAAATCAACAGCCCGGGCCCTCAACATATTGGTCCACGGATCTCGCGGAGCAGGCGGCAATTATCAATTGGCTGGCATTTGCTAATAGCTGGATTCAATACGGTGTCTTCACAGCTCGTGCAATCCTCTCATTTGGCGGACCGTATAATGGACTGGGGACGGCGAGCACGGAGCAGACACTGAAGGAAGCAATTGTGCGGAGCCACAAGTCGCTTGACATTCTGGACCAGCATTTGGACTCAAATGAATGGTTGGCAAACGGCCGCCCAACAATTGCAGATCTGAGCGTGTTTGTCTACGTTGCTCTTGCACCCATGGGAGACATCGACCTATCACCCAACAAGAATATTGTGGGATGGATTCGGCGGGTGCGGGCCCTACCTGGATTTATTCCTATCGAGGGTTTGGATGATCCCTTGTATCGTCGTCGCTGAAGGGCGGACACATTTATTGGGAGGATTGGTAGCCAGCTTGCAAGGGGAAATGTGAGGACACTGCATCACGGCACGATGAACGTTATGTATACGTCACTCCATATCGAAGTGATTACGGTGGCATCTCCATATGTATGGAAGGCTTTTATTATTGCCAGCCCCCTCCAACAGACGATGGATTTTATGGACGTTCACAATACCATGGGATAATTTCTGACGATACAAGACGCAAAAGATTTAGAAAAGGTAAGATCTCGTCTCATCTTCCGTGATGTAGGTCTTATGAGTTTGAAATGTGCTAGAGTTAATAATATACCATATGGCCGTTTCGAGTGGTCCATGACGACATGGAAGGACTGGGCAGGAAAGAATGACTAGACTCTCATGCTTTCCAAATGACGCTACCAGACATGCAGTGAAGGCGCCATCACACCTACCTTAGTTGGAGTTCTAAGACAGTCTCCGCTTCCCTCACCTGCTTAGAGGGACCACTACTGTGTCATAAGCGTATAAAATCGGTGTGATTGTGGACATGGATTTCCAGGACCCCGGATTATGACGGTGTTTCTACCCATCAGGGAACGAGTAGATTTAGCCGTTGATCTCGTCAATTATGCGTCGCTAGTGACCTCGAGGTTGGACCAAGAAGATTCTACTGTTAAAACTTACAAGATTCCGCTGGCTTTGCTCTCAAACTACCCATGATTTCCCTAAATAGTGTCAATATAATTATGGTCTCTTGTTAGTGTTGTCACCAAACACCCGGTTAGGATGGCACTGAGTTTTGCTTCCCAATGCTTATAGTGAAAAGAACTCCCGTACTCACTCCAATACCCTGAACTATCCTCATGCTGCCTCAGTAACCCACATTGCGTGAAGAGGGAGCCACACACTGCTGATATTAAGTTCACACATGTAGTATTAGCCTGGAGGACTGTCATTTTGAGTGTATGTTAGTTTCTCTTTCTATTCATATAAAAAGAGGAGGACACGTTCTAGTTAATATGCAGGAAAGGGCATTCTTCCGCAAGAAGTATACACAATATCCCACGTCTTATTAGTGAAGAGTGAAGGGTGATCTCATGCAAACCCTTCCTACAATCTTTCTCATGGGCAGCCGGGTAAACGTTGGACTGCCCTGATCTAGGAATAGGGTCGCGATTTATTAGAATGGGGCAAATACTGGTGGTGAATCCATGACCACAAGCAAGCACTCCCCTCGCCCGGCGAGGTGTCGCCCACACCCTAAAATATATTGAACTACATATAACACGGGAGCAATCGAACTCGGGCGGGCGGCACTGGCCGGAGAATTTACCCCGCAAAGTCGGAGACTTTTGCCATTGTCGGCACTGGCTCTGTACCGGTCGCTGCTCCCACGCTTCATGATCAACTGAATTCCAACACCAATTTACCGATTCAGCCTAAATTTACCACATGATCTAGAAGGCATCCCTTCCTGGAAGACACCCTTGAGATGTCGGTCTAGCGGCGAATTCTATTATTGATGTCACAATGAGTAAGAACCATCCAACGGATGCCTCAATATCCCGGGCTATTAGCACGGTTAGCCTAAGATTGGGCCACCAACTAGCTGCGTGAATGAGAATGTATAAGGAGGGTAGATGGCCAAGCCAACCCTGGGAAGGGAACATTGGATTTCAGCAGATGAAACCACTTTCGAAAATCTTGCATCGAACTCCAAGTACCATGGTTCAGCTCTCGCTCCTTTACGCTCTCTCCCTCGCCACTGGGGTGCTCGCCGCACCAAGTGAGCTTCAACCACGGCCGCAACCACAGCCACGCACTCCCGAGACGAAGGCAGCCAGTTCCCTCGAAGCACGGCAAGGCTACTACTTCCAAAATTGGTCTGAGGGTGGAAGCAACATCCGATGCATCAATGGAGCTGGGGGCTCTTACACGGCCGACTGGAGTAGTAAAGGTGGATTTGTGTGCGGGAAAGGATGGAATGGGGGTGGTGCGAGGTAAGGAAATGAATTGAGAGAACGGGCCTGGGGTCTTTCCATCAATGATGTTTTGATGCTGACGGTAATACTGTCCGCATAGGACGATTACCTACACTGGGACGTATAATGCCACGGGGCCGGGCTACCTCGCGGTGTACGGCTGGACTAGAAATCCCTTGATCGAGTATTACATTATCGAAGCCCATGCCGACCTGGCGCCAAATGAGCCATGGACTTCCAAAGGAAACTTCACATTTGAGGAGGGCACATATGAAGTTTTCACGAGTACTCGAGTTCAGAAACCGTCCATCGAAGGGACAAGGACATTCGAGCAGTATTGGTCTGTCCGCCAGGAGCAGCGCGTTGGAGGCACTGTTACTACTGGCAGGCATTTTGAGGAATGGGCTAAGCTCGGAATGAGGTTGGGCAATCATGACTATGTGGTTATGGCTACGGAAGGTTACACTGCCACCGGGGGCCCTGGAAGCAGCGGCTCTGCGAGCATCACTCTTCAGTAGATAAAAGAGCGCCTACCGCATTGTAAATTGGCGGGGCGATTCTTCGCCATTTACCCCATGTACGATGGAAATCGGTCTCTTTCACTGGGCTCGTCCTCGGAGCCTTGAAACACTTTCTATAGTGTGAATTTTCAATTTATTGGGCCATCTCTGCCAAAAAGTTCAGCCAGTAAAGCGAACAGCACAGACGATTCGTATAGTGACGCATTTCGTAAGGATTCGTCAGATTTTGAATAGATATTTTCTCAGGGGTTTCAAGAACTGGACTCATATTGTCTGGGGTTTACCGAGGACTAGCTCCACAACTTCGATGAAAAGCTTCATTAACAAAGGTAGTTCAACGTCTTACTTTCCCACCACACCTTCCGTATTGGGCGAATCCTTCCATCTTGTGGGCCATTATGAGCCCCAGTAACGGTGGCCGTCGACGTCCCTTTGTCCCTAATCCTACCTAGGTGGTTCTTCAGGATTGGTGGTAGTCTGTGTCTCCATAAAACAGAACTGAGTATCGTGCAGCTCAACAATGACCAACCTGGGTAGCATGATGTACTGATCTACTGATCAAGTTGTCAAGCTTGATCCATAGCTAGTGAATTTATATTCGGATCGCTCATCCAGTCCCGGTAATCCCGGCCCATCAAAGATTCCGGTCGAGCCTTTCGCGGCATACGGTGGCTTCAAAGACAACGGCCTTTAGCTCTAGCAGCCCCAGAAATAAATAACCTAGCGGGAATTCTATAACGTGGAATGAGCTATAACATATGATATTTCTATGTTTTTCTTCAAATGTGATCTTGAGATCTTACCCCTTCAGTCTTGGTGATCGCGGTGTACAAATGGCACAAAGGCGAGGAAAGCACCATTTTCTACGAGGAATGGACGTGATATAGTTCGAAACATCATGAACATGTGGCCTCGCGCATGTTGCAGAAGCTTGCTTATGATACCTAAGACATTCATTCCATTGTTCGCTACGAAATAAAACTCGCTGTCTATCATATAATCCAACAGACGAAAAAAAAAACTGTATAGAAGGCCTCCATGAATAAAAGTGGCCGGTTCTACTTTCTAGTACCCTGCTTTTTCTTACCACTGCTCATGGAGTCCATAATCGCAGCTCCGATGGCAGCCGTGGCGACTTTCGTCCCTTTCGCGCCAAGCCAGGGCCCCGGATCTCGACGGGCCTTGTATGCAGCGGTCGCCCCAGCTTGCAAAGCGGCAGCGGCGATTGACTGCCATGGCAGATCAAGCTTCGCAGCCTTCGCCCGCACGTCTTTCAGAGGCTGGGTCGCACTTCGTGATGGTCGTGCTGCCTCGGAATTTGATTTAGGCGCAGACTTCGATCTCCTGTCGCGTTCTCGCGATATGTTTCGGCGGAAGCGAACGTCTTCTTCGTCCCCTCTCCCCCTCTCTGCTGAGCGGGCACGGCGAGGATACCTATCATCTCTCCGGTCCCTTTCGTCCCTTCTGTCCCTGCTCCTCTGTCGCCTAGTACTATCAAGAGGCCGGTGAGGCCGATCGCGATTATATTTGTCAGGTCTTGGACTCCGTTGCCTCTGCGGATCTCTTGGGCGTTGGTCGGAGTAGGGTGAGTGTTGTTCGGGCTCTCGCATACGACTCTTGGGTCTTCGGCGGTTCGGCGGAACTACACCTTCGAGATCGTCTAAATTTCGTTGGTCCGGAAGCCGGTCAACCTTAGAGATTCGACGGTGTCCCACTTTATGATAGCGATCCCGGTCGGGACTACGGTCTGACTGCTTCACCTGTCCTCGATCCCGGGGTTTAGGAAGGGCCGGGTCTCTTCGTGTCCGATGAAAGTCTGCTGATTTTTGTCGGCGGGGGGATGATGCTAGTGTGCGGGGTGGGCGGTCTCCATCCGGGGATGGCTGATGATCATAGAAGCTTGGAGGGTGACTATGAGTATGCATATGCGTTCGATATTCGCGAGGTCGCGTCTGCTCTGCGTCGTATTCGTGGGTCCCATCGCCAGAGAACCTCGGGGATCTCGGTTCCCTTGGCCTGCCTCTAGGCGGTTCTTGCCGACGTTTGAAAAGGGGCATTATAATGATGATGGCAATTGTAATCTGCTCAATAGAGTAGGTGAGGGAAGGAAATGTAAATATTGTGAGAAAAAAATTGGTATCTCGGAAATAGAGCAACTTTATTTTTTGGGGGAATGACGAATAATTTCTAAAGGGAAACGGTACTGGATACTGGTTTGAGATATTGGTCACCTTTATGCTGGCATGCGGAATCCTTTGTTTTCTGTCGTGGTGGGAGGACTCCGATCGAGGGTTCCAGCATCAAGGGTGGCTCGGATTTGCCACTCATCCAGGAACCATGCTTATTGGAGTGGGCGTGGTGGCCTGGACACCAATGATGTCTAAGGCAGGGTCACGCGCATTTCGTGGTCCCCGAACCTGACGACCACACACGGCATGGCACAGTCTCGTGTTTTCAGCGAGGGCTTTGTCAGGACCATGCGATCCGATCAGTTGTGTTTCGTACTCTGGCGGTTCCATTCATTTATAAGGGACATCCTCCCTTCACTTTCAGTACGTGACCCAGCCCTTCTAAGACTCGTTTCGTGTCTTGTGTGTCCTGGTCAGATCAATTCTGCAATTAGAGAGTGTCGGGATGTTGGAGGCATCGCTGGGACCTTCTAAAGCGAGTGACCAATAACCGGTGCCGATATGCAGCTTGTGTCGTCACTTCACAACGAATGAGTGTCGGTTTTGATGTCAAAGCATCGTGTCGCACCTCCCGACCAATGATCGACTCGTGGAAATGGCATCACGATCTATGCACAAACATGGTGCAGTAACGTGAACGAAAATGCTCTGGATGACAACATGAGATGTCCACACGCGACGCCAGCACGAAAAGACTCGAGATCGGTTTGTTTAATCCTAAGATTAGTTTGTATCTAGACTATTACAATCACGAGCTATCATAGTGAAGTCAAGCTAAGGTGCAGTGAACCTCCTGGCATGTTATGAGTGGCGGTCGTTGAGGTGGGCTGGTCATTAATCGAGAAGTGGCAGCCACTCGAGAAAGCCTCAATCCAACGCCCGTGCTGAGTGCAGGACAGCGATTGGTTACCAGCTAAACAAATCGGGCGACAGCGACAATTAGCCAACACTGAGGAGCCAATTACGCCCCAAAATCTATCGTCTTCTCACTGCGTTTCTCCAGGCACGTCTTCTCTAATGATAGTTTCGCCGGAAGTTCATTCCCCATGTTGCCTCTTATATTGAATTTCTTGAGATACCCGGTTTCATCGGGCTGTCAAGTCTAGATTCTCCCTCGCGCCAGGGATAGCTGCAGCAGCACTTCAGCAAATCGGCAGCACCCTAATCACCACATAAGATCGCATGCCGCTTGCATGTCCAAAGACGGTACAGGTATATCGAGAGGGCGAAGAGTTTATTGCGTCCGTTTCCTAATCTCCACAAAATATACACAATCGTATAATCCCATACGAAGCTTGAATCCGGGAATGCGCTCAAGGTGGAGAACATTTGATTGTGATGGTGTGGGACATCCCCCACTGAACCGAACGAATGCTGAAGTTCCATGATGAAAGGAAATTATGGGAAGAGGGCACCACGAATAAATTCGACGTCTGCCAGAGTTTGCACGAGGTTTGCGGCAGCTTCCGGAGAGAATTGTTATAGTTAGAGCTGCACTACTCAGTCTCCGCACCGTCGCTGGCGGGCCTGATTAGCGGTACGGCATGGACTCAATACATCAATTATGGGTAGTCGAGTCGCCACATCGAGTCTTTCAGCTCTTGGTCTCGGGCCGTGGCCGGGTAGTGGCTTTAGTCGGCGTATTGTAGGGTTTCCTCAAAAACTGTCGGTGTTCAGTTTTGGGAGGCTGACCTGGATAAAGAACAAGCCCAGGCCACCCAAGCCCTACCTAATGTGAGCGCTGCTCAAGTCGTGGAGTGAAGGGGGAAAAGTTCAATTAGAGCTATTCCCTAACAAGACGCCTTCTAGGTCGTAGGGGCTCGTTTGGGATGTAAAGACAAGTGTCTTGACCCAAACCTATCGAATTGGACCTGGCAACATCAATGCGTCGATGAAGTAATTGACCTTGCTACAGGCCGATACCAGATGGTCTACCTCTCCGGAAACGAGGGCGACCCGCACGAATGGTTGAAAGACCGGTTTCCCTTCGACATTAGTCTTGGGAGGATGGTTAGACACATGCAGACGACTCTGGAACACCGATTGATGGCCGCTGTTACTGCGACGATCATGGGACATCGATGTTGAGCTTTGTGTCAGGCGATATGCTTAGCATTTCAAAACGGGGAAGCCTTACCTTATCCGCGCACCCTGTCGGAGAGGGAAAGGTGAAGGAAACAACGCTGAGGATTATTAAAGGGAGTGGCTATGGCTGTTGATGCCATCCAGGGCGACAGTCCTATTGTCAGAGTTGTTCTTTGCTTAGCATGGAATTATAACCTGGAGAGGTTCGAACGTCCCAACGCTGGAGCGCCCCGTCCCCCTTCCCTACATGGAGAAAGCAGTTGGCACGTTTTATCCGAGAGACTATTAGCAAAGGTGTTCTTGTGGTGACGGGGTCGGGAAATATTAATGGAGTAAGTTGTAATATCAGATCTAGTCAAACGGGGTCTAACTGCACTTTGCGAACACAGGTTGATCGTTGGCCGGCTCTATTTGGGGCGGCGCCGGAGGACGTCGAGGTCGATAGGCAGGCTGATTGGGAGCATACACTAGAGCTGCTGGTAGTTAGAGCTCTACACCCGGTCACGATGAGGCGCTGGTGGAAGTAGGCTAGGGATACCAAGAAGCTCCCGCGCACATATGTGCCGGGCGAAGGTTGCTTAGGCACCAATGGTAATAAGACGACATGGGACAGTTATCCCGGCGGAACATACAGGCGGGATATAGGAACTTCGATCGGTAAGACAGCTTAGACCTCCTTTTCAGGGCTAGTACGTATTATCTGACCCTGGAATTTGTGAATGAACAGCGACGGCGAATACCTCAGGCCTTGCCGCCTACTCTATAAAACTTTATCAACTCGGATGCCTGCCCGTAAGTCACCACGGCAACGCCCCAGACATGACCGTAGCAGGTTTAAAGAGCTGCGTCATCAACATGGGGTGGAATCGACCGCTCCTGTACCCCTTGAAGCTGCCCATGGAGCCTGATCGGCTTGGAATATGGAATGGAGTGTTGTTGAGAGAAGCAACGAAAGAGCCTATGTGCCCTATAGACCTTGGAACGGCTTTGAACTAGTTCAGGAATCGACGTCAAGAAACAGGCGTTGCGGGCGAACGGTGCTGGCTGCCTAGGGCGGCTTCACCGGTGGCGGTGGCGTCGAGACCACACTAGAGCCAGGACTAGGCATACCAGGAAACCTATGCACGCCCGAAACAGTGGACACCTGCACTAGAGCCATCATGTGCGAAGCTCCGATGTATCACGGCTGTGTCAATGGAGAGTGCGTTTGCCTCAAGCCGAGTTCTCCGTCAGATCTTGGGCAGGCTCAACCAATGGGCGACCCCTCGTGCACGCCAGAAACAGTCAATAATTGCGTCTTCTTACCCTGTGAACCTCCCAGCACCCGCAGCTGCACCCGGGGGGAATGCGCCTACCTGATAGAAACCATTTCACCCGACCCGGAGAAGCCTTAACCGCCGCAAATTCCGTCATGCACCGAGCAAACAATGGGAGAATGCGATCCCGTCCCGTCCCGTGCCCACCGCCCGGGACTCGCTCGTGTATCCTCGGGAAGTGCGCTTGCTTCACGGGAATCACTCCACCTGGCCCAGAAGATCCTCAGCTGGCAGAAATTCCATCGTGTACCTATCAAACCACGGAAACCTGCAAAGACCTCCCACCTCCGTCACCCGGGACCTAGGACTGCATCCAGGAAAAGTGTGTTTGCCTGACGGAAATCACTCAACCCAACCCCGAGAGCCCTCAACCGTCCGAAGCACCACCATGCGTCGGGAAGCCTATCGAAATTTGCAATAGCTTAGACTAGCCATAGACTGTCAGACACATGTAGGCTTTTTCGGACATGAGATTGATGTTCCTTTTGCAAAACCCCAAGGGCTCTATGTAACTATAGGAGGCTGTGGACTGTGGAGGACTACGAGGAACGTCACTAGAAACAGTTTAGTTAAGGAAAGTCGGTTTGGACGTGGAAATGGCAGATACTTAATTTCTTATCTCCTGCCATTTAGCTTTAGTGGAAAGTAGTAGAATCCTAGAATGCCGATTGGAATTTCAGTTTAACCATCTAGACTGTACATGCTTATTTCTCTACACGAGGCTAGCTTCCAAAAGAGCTCGTCTAACGGCGATATGGCTGTCTAGATTCGGGTTTCCCGGTACATTCCGTGAGAGGTAGCGCTTGGCGATGGCAAACACCGAAGCCAGGACGGGAGTATTCAAAAGCGGATCGAGCTTCGTTGTATATTTTAAGCGACGTAGGATACTAATGACCCCGAAAGGGCGCTGGAGGTTATGAAACGCTCTTCTGGATTTCAGGAAATCGAAACGGTTTTCATAGCCGTATTTGTTGTGTTTCAGCTGGACTGCGATCCTTGATCCAGCCAACACGAATATAGTGCATTGGTTGGCTCTAATTTCTTTCTACTTCGGGGATTAGACCTGTGCTAGAGCCGTATTAGGATGCCGTTCCTCTTGGAAGAGCTGTGCCGTTTCGGGTTTCGAGACTCCCGAGTCTCGACCCACATCCACCACGGATCATCTCACCCTGGCTTAATCGCTTTCATTCGGTCGGTTGGGTCGTGGGGTCTGGATCGAGACACTTCTACGTCTGTGATTATTCCGCTCGGTGATGTGGCTGGACAAGGATCAAACAATGAGGCAGTGTTGAGCCCGGCCATGGAAGGAAGCCCCTGCCGAAGTAGTTGCTATCCCATTCTCGTGTCACACTCCTCCGGCAGCCTAAATCGGCATTCACTCGGGTCAAGGGATATCGTGTAGTCGCTTCCAGGTACGAATGTGCTGCACACTTAGCCACCACTTTTCGATGGATTGAATACGCCACTCTTTGGATGTCAGTTGTTGATGTGGAGAGAAGCAGTGAATAAATGATGGTACTTGATGAATAAAGTATCAATCGATGATTTATGTAAGTCGTTGAAGTCATTTGAGACCCTAGTTCGTCGCCAATTGGCAGCAGCTTTGGACGTTTGGAGCCACTAGAGTAGTGTCGAATCCATCATGTCCAATCCATTTAGGCTTGTATCTCTTACGTAATCATGGCCTATTGGTCCAATATCGAGAAGTCTCATCCGAGCCCTGCTAAAGGTTGGTCTTGTTGCGGCTCTTCAGAGAAGTGCTTTTTTCGGAGGATTAGCCTTGTCACAAGTGAGATCAAATTCTCGAAAGAAATTCCTTCTAAATGGAGATCACAAAGTCGACGTCACTGATCAACCCTCCTCAAGCAAGCTGACGTGGGTCCGGCGCCCTTCGATCCCCGAATCCCTCGACCGCTAGCCAGAAGCGGGTAAGAGCCACCAAAACAGGTTAGGATTTCTGGGGTAGGTTATCCACCTTGCCACCCAGCTTCTCTTGACTTGATTCGTCAGATCCTCTGGTCCTGGCCAATGACAGGCCCGAGAACATCAGCTTTTGCGGCTTTCCTTCGGCACTCCTTCCATGTGAAATGTCTTCCCCACACTCCCAACTTCTGCATTGAAATTCTCGCTTAAACTACCCATTACCCCGGATCAACTCTTTTCATCCAGATTCCAGCACGCTAGGAGACCAGTAAAACAACCAGGGCAGAAGACTAGCAAGGCGAGATGTCCGACAACCAAGAGTTTTTTCATTGCCCCGTGTGCTCCAAGCGGTACAAGCGACGGGAGCACATGCAACGCCATTGGGCTTCTCACAACGCATCCCGCCCGCACCGTTGCGCCCAGTGTAGCCGTGCCTTCCAGAGGCTTGACGTGCTGAAGCGCCACGCCCGGACATGTGAGGCCAGGGCACTAGGCTTGATAGCGCCCTCTGGGAGGAGGCGAGCCTGCGATCTCTGTGTCCGCCAGAAGAAAGCATGCAGCGCCAGCCAGCCGTGTCAGAACTGCGAAAGGTTATCCGTACCTTGCTGCTATTCCTTCAATGTCAATCAGGAAAACAAGAGACCGAGCACGTCCCAGGAGAGCGTCGCCGCAGGAAGCGACTCGAGTGAGGCCCAGACATTACCGACGACGGAAGACATCAACCCGATTGTTGAGACTGTCGAAACCGTTGAGGAGCTTGCGGTGAATGAAGCAGATTTTAATGCTGTCATCCTGGCAGACCCGCTGGAAGCGGGCATCTGGGATGCACCCGATACTAGTGGCAGCTGGCTGGATTACTTGAACTTCATGCCAGCTAGATCACTCTTGGATGTTTCAACCAACCGGCAACAGCTTGTGACCACGCGGAAGGATAATCCTCGGTACTCCTTCAGATTTTTGGACAACTTCACCAGACGAACAGGCTTGCTAGAGTCTTTCGAATGCGGAACCCCGGCGTTGAGGGAACGGACGGTAACATCCTTTCTCCAACAGCAAGTCGGAAGTAATGTGATACTTCGTCACTTAGCCGGCTCCCATAGCGGACCTTCGGCGGATGTGGCGGATGACCTCGCCGCGGCCTTAGCAGACAGCAGCACCATTCCGACATCGATCACAGGCCCGGTTACTTTCGTTCAAAATCCATGGCTCCACGACCCTCTGATGATCAAGATTCATCAGATTATCGTCATTGCAAAGGAAGTGGTCACAATGAAGCCGCGTAACAGCGCCGTAACAGTTGAATGGTCTCCCTTGCTGGAGCAAAAATGCATCGAGTTCTTCTCCCAAGAAAATGTGCGCAAATTCCTCACCCTTTACTGGACGATCTGGCATCCAAACGTCAACCTGATCCATCGACCGACATTTGACCCGGCCACCGCCAACCCAACTTTACTCGCCGCCATGGCGGTAATGGGTGAGTTTGTATTCCTCCAAGAAAGGTAAATGGGTGGTGGAGCTAACGTCCTGGTAGGAGCATCTATGTCTCCAAATCCTGCCGATAGAGACAATGCAAAGTTATGGTTCAATTGCGTTGAGGAGATGGTATTCACCGATGATGACCTTTGCTCGGAGCCTCTATACACACTAGACACTGGTGTTTTGATCCCTGCCACCCAGAAGCGCAAGGTCCAAGCTCTCCAGGCTGCTTATATCGTCTGCCTCTATCAAAATTGGGAAGGCACGGATGCCAGCAAGAGGAGAATTCGTCGATACCGGTTTAGTACTGTTGTCTCGGTAAGATCTTATCTCTCGCCCTTGGAATCGAACTTCTTCACTGACGACAATCGTTAAGGTCGCTCGGGATATTGGTCTTGGATCTGCAAGGCACACGGATTGCCGAAGGCCTGTTGGATACGAGTTCGAATGGAAATCGTTCGCTGTGAAAGAAGAATTGATCAGGTAAGATTATTGGAAGCCGACGTTACCTCGAGTGGTATAACGTTTGTTGACATAAGAAAGGACTTTTCTCTGGATCTTCCTCCTCGACCATGCTTTCGTCACCTTCAACAATCTTCCGCCACGGTTGGTCATCAAGGAGATGAAGATTCACATGGCAAGACCAGAGGCTTGCTTCCAAGCTGCGACTGCGGAGGAGTGTCTTGAAGAGCTTCAGAAATGGAGTGCCCACTCAGCCCTACTGCCCGTCCTAACCCTGCACGAGGCTGTGGAGATGGTTTGCAAAGGTGGAATGCACGAAGGGATGCACGAGACCCTTGCCCACCTCGGCGCGCTGAACTTGTTTGCGGTCATATCAGGTAAGGCTTTTTCCTCGAGGATTCTCAGGGTTTTTGCTTGTGCTAATGAGGCAAAAAAAATCTTAAGCCGTTCACTCTCTCGTTTTCCAGCATCAAAATTCGTTTGCTGAAGATGGGCACCTAGTTGCAATCCGCCACGCTCTAAAGAACTGGAAGCCCGCCTGGGACTTTTATACCAGCAAGCTCTCCGGGGGTCCCCCACACAATATGATCAGCGGAGATGCGCTCACACCGGAGAACGCGTGGAGACGAATCGGATTCTATCGGCACGCCCAAGAATACTGGCTGCTTGCCAGCGTCATCATTGACCGACTCACGAGCCCCGACCAGGCGTGGCGCAACGAGAGTCCCTCGGACAGCGACCAGGCGCAACAGCCAAATCTCAGGGAAGCCACACCGCCGGATCCAATCCTGAGCAGGTATGACCAGACAAGCATGCGCCAGGTCAACGATCTGATAGCGGACTTTCAAAAATTCCAAATCATTTCTGAGGAAGACTGAAGGTTCATTAACTATCTTCTTTCTATGTTCACCTCCCAATTATGTACTATTTTTTTGTTCTCTCAAGCCCGTTTTGCCTCGATCTACGAGATATATGAGCTTTATGAATCTAACTCTGGGGATTGGGAAGTTATGTGCTCGGACAGTCTCGCCCCTGTTCTCAATTCCTAGTCTTGTATTATATTATTTCTATAAAGTAATTCCAAAGAAAGAGACGTGTTCAAACAGACGAGACCCATCCTTGTCGGAAATTGCCGAGCCAAGGAAACATGAGTGATCAGTCGTGGTGAACGGAGGCGGAAGACGACGTGGGCATGTGTCTCGGCGTGGCGGAAAGGGAGGGAGTGCCAATTGCAGGGGAGTGAAGTGACTACTACGTTGCTGCGACCTGCATCGTAGCATTGCAGCTGACCGGGATCTCGTCTTCCTTCCAGACCGTCACCCCTATTGTCTAGAACTCCATTGGCTTGGTCCCCTGTCCAGACCCACAAAATATCCCACCGCCAATCCGATCCATCCCACTCCGACTCCGATGGTGTGAGGGCTACGGCACTGGGCGCCGGGAGCTTGGTACCCGAGCTGGCGATTGGCCCCTTTGAATCAAAGTTTTCTCCTTGTGCCTGCTAGTGTCTCCCCAATCACGGACAAGGTTAGGCTCATTATGCTCAATTCCTTTTAAGGGTAAGACACCGGCGACGTGGTTCCCTGCCCGGTGTTCACTAACTTTCTAGTGGAATGTGCACTGCTCAGTACAAAGGTAAGCTTAGATTCGAATCCAAACCGAGTCTGTGGGATGTGGGGGACACCGATCGTCAAGAGTCAATGATCAGAAGCACATGGACAACTCAGACATGCTCGTAAAATACCGCCGGGTCGACTAACCGAGAGCTACGAAGTAATCTTAGCATTGAAAGGAGAAATGACGAAAAATGGTCGGAATGGTGAGGCAAGAAATTATATGGCATTGATATTTGTAAAGTCTACGTCGACTCCCACTTCAGCACAGCCTTGAATGCCCGTCCTGTTTTACTGTCCTCGATTGCCTTTTCATAGTCCTTGACATCATAAAAGGTAATAAGCTCTTCCAAAGGAAGCTTTCCCTCCGCATGTAGTTGTATTAAATAAGGAATAAACTGACGGTCGTTGAGGTTATGATTAGCTCAAAATCTTGAATCCAGGTGCCTCGTTGTTTAACTTTCGGTGGCTATTACTTACTTTCGACGGCAGGCTGTCACCCTCGCAACAGCCGACGTATTCTTTCCCATAGGTGAGATGATTCATCACATCAACACTGATCCGAGAACCAAAACCTGGAGCGCCGACCGTGGCGCCCCTTCCTCTGGTGCCGAGCGCGTCAATCATGGACACAATCACCTTTGTATTGCCCGTGCATTCGACGGCAAAGTCCACCCCAACCGGTGGGCAGATTTTCCGGATTTCCTCGACGACGTCTCCCGTGCCAATTATCCCGTGGGTTGCACCTAACCGTTTCGCGAGTTCCAGTCTCGACGGCTGAAGGTCCACAGCGATGATCGTCTTCGCTCCCCTCAGCTTACCGGCCATGACGGCGCTCAACCCAACCGATCCGACACCAAAGACCGCCAGGGTACTTCCTTCCGTAACGTTCAATGTGTTGAGCACAGCACCAGCGCCGGTTTGGACGCCGCATCCCAAAGGTGCAAACAGGCTCAGATTGGTCTCCGGCGGCACTTTCACCAGGCTAGACTTGTGGACCAGGGTGTGTCGAGCAAATGCGCTCTGGCCGAAGAAGGAACTGAAAATCGGGGTTGTTCCGTCTGCTTTTACCATAGAGCTCGATCCGTCCGGACGCTTACCGCCGAAATTTCTGTCGTTAAAGGCGTAGCAGTAGGCAGGGTGTCCAGACGTGCAGGGAGCACAAGATTCGCAGTGAGAGAAGGACAACAGGACCTTGTCCCCCTTGGCCACCGAAGTGACAGCGGATCCTACCTCTAGAACGACTCCGGCGCCTGTGGGAAGAGTTCAGTCAGCCATTCCTTCTTTTTCTTTCTGCTCAAGAGCCTATGGGGAGTCTGGCGGATACCCTCGTGGCCAAGCACTGCGCCAGGAGCACCGGGCAGGGTGCCATTGGCAGAAGAGAGATCGGTATGGCAGATGCCCGCCGCGTGGATCTCTACAAGAGCTTCATCCGGCTGTATGGGATTGAGCTGGACTTCACGCAACTCAAACGGACCGCCGATTTCAGTAACGGCTAAGGCTGTGGTGGTGCGGGACATGGTTTCGGATAATTGTGTATATGCATGTACGTCTGGTTGAGAGACAGAGAGAGAGAGAGAGAAGGATTTGGTTGTGGCTTCTTTCCGAGTTGTTCAGTCAGTCATTGTAGGGGCAACAAGCAAAGAAAACTACTTCATAATTGACGCTTTGGGGATCGTTGCCTATTATGGACGGGGTTGTGGTGGGCGAACTGACAAGAGCCGAGTAGCATCCCGAGCCCCACACCAAATGCTTCTTTCCAACCCCGCAAAAAGAAGCTCCCCGTGGGGAATCATCTACTAGATTGGGTGACACGCCGCGGACCACCCGCGGACCACACGCGAAACGACAGGTTAGGCTTCCCACAATTGCTGAACTAGCGTCTTACCCCACGAAAGGGCGGACAGCGGGTGGAGGTGGAGGTGGGAGTGAAAATGTTCCATCGATCTTGAGCGGAGGAATCAACACAGATCGGGAGGCGCTAGTCTCAGACCGCTGAGCTCCCATGGGCTTTTCCACCGGTGAAGAATTGTTATTTCTCTTGCATCGTTTTCTTTAGTTTTGCCCGTCAAACGTCCCTCGTCCACGTAGATTCACTTCTACAACATGGTCGTCTCAATTAAATTGCATTGTGGAAATAAGTGGGATCAAATTGAGAGTCCTAATCGCCTGGGGGAATTTTAAGCTACACACATACTCGTACCAAATAAATCCGTTTACATGTTCCTCGCCTTCCTGGACCTGGACGGGATGGGAGAGTATCGCCACTGCTTCGTCACGGGGTCCAAGCATTCCTTCTCAGCTTCCTTCCACTCCTTCGTCACCCGATCCGCCTTGGCCTGTGTCCTGGGAGTAAACTTGGCGGGGAAAGGCTCGGGCATGCAGACGAATCCCTGGGTGAGCTTGTTGTGATCAGGGATAATCGGCTTGCCGTTCTTGTCCAGAGTAGGCTCAATCTTGAAGGCCCACAGAATGCGGGACATGCCGAGGAAAAGACTTCGCTCCGCAACGTGGATGCCAGGGCAAATGCGGCGTCCAGCTCCAAACGTAAACTGATCACGCTTGCTGGCATCGGGGTTGGCTGCAGCATCCGCCAAGCTCTGGTGGTCGTCCTTGTACCTGTCCGGGTTGAATCTTCGGGGGTCGGGGTGGCGAACTGGATCCATGTGGATAGCCCAAACATTGTTCATAACGCCAGCGTTTTTGGGGATAAGATATCCATCATAATAGTCATCCTCGGTAACAGCATGGGGTACGGCTCCAAGAATGGTAGTCGGCATCCAGCGAAGAGATTCCTTGATGCAGGCCCGGATGTATGGGAGATTTGGCTCATCTTCCATCGTTGGCATGCGGTCTGATCCGATCACACGCTCAATCTCCTCGTAGGCCTTCTGTTGGACTTCTGGGAAGATGAGCATTGCCTGGATAAACGCGTACAAGGTGCTAGAAGTCGTATCGGATCCAGCCTCGAGCAGGGTTCCAGAAATGTAGGCTGCTTGATCATCATCGAAGCCCTCGGACTTCTGCACATCTACCAACTCCTCGCAGAAGCAAGGCTTGACGGTGCCCTTCTCAACCTCGTCCTTGACCTTGAGCCAGTGGCTAAGGTAAAGGGCCTTCTCTTCCTTGTGAAGTTTCTTAGCCGTCTTCTTCAGAGGGAGGATGAAGTCGGGAAGCATCCTCAAGATCGGGAAGGAGTCAAGGATGGCCGCTACACCAGTTTGGTTGATGTCGGCAAAGGCGGAGAAGCCTTCAAACAGCTGCTTCATCTTCTCATCCTCGTAGGTTGGCGTCCTCCAGCCAAAGACCATTGTAGTGGTTAAGGCATTGGAATATCGCCGAATGTGGTAAAGGAATCGGTCCGGGTCGACCAGCAAATCATGGAGCATCTGCTTGTTCTCCAAGATCTGGTACGGCACGTACGACTTTGCAGCCGAAACGTTGAGGAGGCCGTGGATCATTTTACGAGACTAGTTCAGACGGTTAGCAGCCGCATATTGCACAAAGAGGGGGTAATTCACGGTTTACATGCCGTTCGCCATCGGTTGCCATATCCCTGAGTCAAAAGTCAGCACAATCATTCTTCATAGCACGCTTGCCGAGGAAGGTGGAACAAACCATCATCAGTACCCTGAGTCCGCCGCTGCACAATTCTTGACCGACATACATCTCTTGTCGGTGAGAGTATTTTCCACTCTTCTTATCAAGGAGATCCTTGACAGCCCGGTCGCTTGAAAGCACGACCAATGTCTTGGTGCCAAGAATGAGACTGTAAATCGGGCCATACTCGCGTGCCCACTTCTCAAACTGGAGATGGGCATCTTGGGTGGGCATCTACGATCATTCTCATTAGCTTCTTTTTTCTTCTTGTTCCTTTCCCTTTCCTCCCCTCTTAATGATCAATTGCGACCACACTCTAGAGTCTGGGCCATACCTGGTGGATATTGCCGAGGATGGGCAGTGTGGGAGGCCCGGGCGGGTAGTTCTTGGGCCGCCTACCGACGAGGAGCAATCGAGCAACCAACCCAACAATCACGACACCAAGTGCAATGGTGGTAGGCTTGACGGAGAGCGTCAGGTCCGACGCAAGAGACGGCATGGACGACATGATGGACGACATGATGAATGAAGATTTAGCAATCCAATGGGATTTACTTTGTGGCTGAAAAAACAAAGGAGAAAAACGAGAGGACCACGATTCGGAGAGGTTGATATTGTCCTAAATATAGAGAGCTCTGCTCTTGGAGGATTCCAGGTGTGTTCAATCCGGGGATGCCCCTAATCCAAATCGGGCAACCAGGCATACCAACTCCAGCGGAGATGATTGCGGGGGATACCACGGATGGTGGTGGGATAAAGGCCTGCATGCGGGGGCGGGGGATCCGAGATCCGGGGTTGTGGGGATGGGCTATAATATCCTCTATAATGGCTATGTGGCTTGTGTTTTTGCTGATCGTCTCCGGCCACCCGACTAGGGATTACTACCGAAAGAGATTCCCGTCCCTCTCTGATCTCCGCGGGTGGGTTCGATTGAGGTCAGGCAAACGGCTCCGCTCGGCCATTTTTGCCATTCCGGGCGAATATTTGTTGTCCGTATTGCCCGCTGCATGAGGGCTTTTTGTCGACGCGGCTGAGTCAAAGTACAACGAGCGATGGGCCTTGTCTAATGCTAGAGGCGGTGTGGGTGCTCGATTTTGATTTTCAATTCTCTTTTTGATAATGACTGCTCGTTATTGCTGTACGCGACTCTGAGGCCTTCCATTGTTCTGGATTCCCGGAGGATTCGGATCTACAGGTACCAATTATTGGCGGACAAAAGAGGGGGTTAAGTGTGTGTCGGCCGCCTGAGCCGCACCACGAGCCCATCAATTGCTTGCCACCTCCTAGAGGTTGACCCCTTTGCGAGCCCAACAGGAGAATTTCAAAATTTGAAAGGCCAGCAGCTACCGAGATTGTGCCGTTCGTGTACTTCGTAATGATTTGGATTTAATATCTGGACGCGTCTCTTCCAAAAAGCCCGTTAAGCAGCCATCGACCAGCCACTCGCAGTCTGTTTTTCCAACTTATGCTCAACGTGATGTATGCCGAGTTCCAGACCAACCAAGCGACACGCCCTGTCAGGTTACTCGGCCGATACCATCTCTGCCCATCTTCTCCGTCAGGAAATTGCATCAAAGCTTTCGAATCACCGATGTAAGCCATGATGCCCAAGCTTTTGAAGACGAATTGCTGTGGTGAGCGCTCGAGATTTCCTTTGTTGAGTTGAGTAGCTAACCATTTGCCCTCTTGGTAAGCAACCTGAGCCGTCGCTGGCAAATCACTCGTCTCCGGCGTTGCGTTGTCGCCGATGGCGAAGACGTCCTGGAGAACCACCGTCTTGTGATCGGTATTCACAAGCTGAACGCGAAGGCTTCCATCCACTGACAGAGAGCCTGCTTTCTCCGCTTTCTTTACGCTCCAGGAAACTCCAGACCTGCCACCGCCATCTGGTAAGGCGACGGACGACGCTGGGAATTGGTCGATTTTATCAAGCCCATGCCTGATAAATGTATTCATCTTGTTTCCTGTTACCCACACACAAACACCAATCCCTTCCTCACCTCTTTCTTTGGTCTTCAAAGTCAAACACTGAGCCGCATCTATTCCATACGGGGGCTGATCGCCGGGAGCACCCCAACGAAGACCTTCCACGTGATGCGAGGTTTTGACGTCAATGCCTTCTTTCTTCATTGCTTGCATGGCATACTGCGAAAGCTGCTCATCGAACATGGATAGGACCTTGGGTGCCACGTCGTACAACGAAATTCGAGGAATCCCAATCAAAGAAGGATACTGCGTTATAAAGTTGGAATGAATGAGGTCTCGCAGCGATGCGGCGAGCTCTGTTCCCGTCGGGCCTGCCCCGACGATGGCAAAATGGAGCAAGTATCGCTGCATTTCCGGCGTGGCAGTGGGCAGCATGGCTAACTCGAAGCACTCGCGGACCCTGTGTCTGACTTGCCGAGAATCGCCAATGTCCTTGAAAAAAATGGCATTTTCCCTTACCCCAGGGGTATTGAAAGTATTTGTTACTGCGCCGACGGAGATGACCAGTTTGTCATATGAAACTTCGAATTTCTCCTCGCCTTCCCACTGCTTCGCCTCCGTAAATTCGCTGTAGCCCGGCTTCTGTTGTACCTCCTCTTCTTCTTCGTTGGTGAGTACCCGGTTGACACTATAGTCTATCACAGCAGGCTTGCAAATGACGCGCTTTTTACTAAAATTGACCGAGAGTGCCTGGGCCTGGATGAATCCAACGTGAGATTTTGAGACTCGGACAGGCTCAATGACGTGGGAGAAGTCCAGGGAGCCACCAGCAGTGTCCGTCAATAGCGGCGTGAACAGGAAATATGGTCGAGGGGAGATGATCAGCGGCGAGAATAACTTGGCCGACAAGTTACGCGATAGGGTATACCCTCCCCAGCCTGATCCAAGGATAACAACCCGTTCCTTCTTGACGCCCATTGCCTGGGACGTAGTGAGATGTCTCCTCCGAGTCGTTTCATATCGCTTGCTCACACTGACCCGATAATAACTTCGTGTCAGTCTGTCGAGATATTAGCGCGTGTATTTCTATTTCAAACTCCATTCTTCGGATTTTTAAGATCATCCCAGAGACTTACCTCACCGCTGCCAGGGGCAAAGGCTTCTCTACGGCCATATTACCAATTTACCAATGTCCAATACACCCTTACGGCTCTTGCACTCTTGAACTTCTCTTTTCCACTCGTTTCGATGGCTAGCGCGGGCAATCAAGGAACTGCTACGGCTCTTGATGAAGTCCTGATCGCACTGTTCCATGCCTGGTGACTGGTTGCCTCCAAAACGTCACCATTTCCGAGAACGAAGATGGCATGGAATATTACATCATATTGATGCAACAATATCCGGGCAAGGCCAACTACAGCCTATCAAGGTCGCTAGGTCTCACAAAATAGACTCTGATTTATCTCATCTGACTGAGTAGAGACAGCTTGAGCTTACATGCCACAAGAAGCGCTATGCTTCTATCCACCTTAGAGGAACCTCCAAGCGCTTCCACAAATCAGTTTCCCTCGGTATCCTAATCCGCGTAGCCAGGGAAGGTAACACTCCCAATTCCACATTATCTACCCCATCTACCTCCTTCAGGTTAGGTAGTCGCTTAGATTTCCCCCCAAGGAGCTCGTTGACGTGGTCGTCCAGTTCCCTACTTCTTCCTTTCTCATATCCGTAAAGGCGTAGATATTCCAGATTTGAGGGGAGCATGTCGATGAGTCGGATAGAGGGTGGTTTGGCGAGTACCGGCGAGTTGAGCTCCAGATCGCCGAAAAGAGCCCGAATACTGATGCTGACCTGGGTCAGGGACGTGTAATGGTGGAGACTCCCAATTTTCCCATCATATGCCTGGACGTCTTTGATCTCTTCAGGGCGTAGTGGGCCCTCGCTTATAGCCTCGTCAAGACGGCAATACTCGTCGCTGATGTCCGGATCACTCAAGACATTATACTCATCCTCGTCCGATTCGTCATCGGAAGAATTCTGGGACAATTATGTTGACGCAAACCCGACATCGAGATCCAGCACGTGAAGTGTGTGTTTATGTTGGACGAGAGACTTGCCAAGTAACTCAAGATTCGCCCAGGGAACACTGCCCTCAATGTTCCACAGGCCGCCCCAAGATATTGTCAATTCCTCTAGACCAGCAGGGATGAGTATTATTGTAGCCAACATCCCGGCAGAAATATCGGAATGTGTCAGGGAAATCTTCTTGATGCTTGTTGAGGTCTTGGGAGGGAAAATCTCTCGATGTACTTGATGGTCCATTACGCCTTCCATCGTAATACTCTCGATCAGAGGTAGGCGATGGAAACATCTAAGTACGTCTAGAAATTGGGCTCTATCATAGTATCTCGGATCATATGATGAATTCTTGAGGGTACGGTGTTTTAGGTGCCTCAGTCGTTGAAGCGCAGGGCGCGGCGCCAGAGCGTAGTTAGACCGCAGCAAGTAGTCCGCTAGCGGTCCGCACGAGACTCCTTCGCCCAGATAGAGTACTTCAATATTGGGACAGAGGGATAAAAGAAGAGCAGCTACGGTAGACACATAACTGCAATAACTTCGATTTAGTTTTGGGTGTGCCACGGGATCAGCACGTAGCTCTAGGTCCCCTGAGAGTGAGGCGAAGGCGGATTGGTTTCGCATCTGTTCCCTCCACCTCTCCAGTAGTGATGCGATATCCAGGACGCGCGCTCACAACCCATTACTGAGTTTGTGGCTCCAACTGAGGCAGGGAACATGGTTCTTTTCTCCTTCTCCTCATTTCCGTTTGATCTGGACCCACTCCAGATCCCGGTCGCCAAATCGTTGTTACCCCGCTTTACTTCTCCTGTTGTCGCTAAATGTTTAAGCTCTTCGGGAAGATTGTACCTACTCGAAACTACTTCTCCCCATTTCCATCCCCCCCAAAAATCGATTATTTTTCAAATTACCGAAGTTTTTCCATATTCATGCCTAATATCCCAGGTTGCAACAGATCAACAGGAAAACTGGCGCGAGAGCTGTTGCCGACGAGGCTTGATAAATTTTAGAAGCAGCAAAAATCCCAAATATAAATTAGAATGGAGAACTCCTCTTGCGGACACGCCCCCTCTTCGATCTTCCATCTTTTCCCTCAGTTGCCTATCGAAATCCGTCTTCAGATCTGGTCGGACTCCTTCCTGCCCCGTGTGCTCGAGTTGCACGCCAGACGAGCGCACTACGCGGATAATAATAGCAAATTTGACAGCCACGGGCGAAACCACCGCCCACCCGCGTTCCACTCCAGATGCTACAACCCCGCCGCCTTCTCTGTTAATGTGGAATCACGTAAGGCCGCCCTTGGAGTCTATACCGTGGCCCTCCCCCTGGCACTGGAGAAGTACCAGAGATTTCACGATGATCAACCTGGTGATCTCGTCCTAGATGATCGTCGGGTCCTTTATATAGCCCTGGACCGAGATACTGTAGTTTTGATAGGAGAGGAACCGGCGGCACGGGTAACAAGATTGATGTCATGGTTTCGGCAGAACGACGCTCTTGGCAATCAGCCGGTAGGGCTGCGCAACATTTGCATTAGCGCAGGGCATTTCGCCCACAACCATGGGGCGCAGATGCTACGTATTATTGGGCGGCAGTTGTTCCCCGATGTTGACAATTTCGCCTTGGTCATTGGTAGCAGTGCTACGAAGACGGCACCTCCTGCGTGGTGGGTAGGCGGGAGATGCTTCTTGCATGAGTTCCCAAGTCGGGTCGAAGGAGGGGAGGGTGAAGACGAAAACTACCAGGCGTTTGTGACAGGTGTCGGACGCCAATTCAGAGAGGGAGATGGGTGGATGGTTATAGGAAAGACAGAAATCCGGATTGTCGGTCTGCGTTTCGAGAATACCTGGTAGCCAATACCTGGTGGCCTATCGCTTGACTTCGGAGGCACAAAAGGATAAGCAAATCAAGGGCGAAGTCCGAAATATGCAACCATTTGGATTCCTTGCCGTCGTTTCTTGGAAGGGGGAAACTGCAAGACCGGTATTTCAAAACCTCCAACCCGTCCCGGGTGACATCGGCTTGGTAAGTACAATGGCAACTTATTCCGGGCGAAGTTGGCTTGAAATTCCCCGAAGCCAGTCCGCCTACATAGCCGTGTGTGAAACAGGCTGACAGTTCTACGGCAGGTCTCTGGTGTTGAGATAAAGAGGTCTACGACAACCCCACGATGAATTGTCTCCTTCCGCTGTTTCAAACAGGAGGTGATATCTTTCTGATATCCAACATGGTTTCTCAACTTGCCAAGTTCGGGTTTGCGGGTTTCAAGGTATGATATACAGAGAGGACCTTCTGCCACATTCTCCGTAGAATTAACGTATATCTCAACAGGTTAACATAAGTCTCGATCATTAGCATAGCCCGGCCCTGTTGAAAGTAATTTACTTGAGATCCCCCGTAATAAACTCACTAAGTACAAGGCTCACTTGCTTCAGCGACGGACGGTCTCGTATAAACTTGAGTAGCCTTCGATCTTCGTCACACGTCTCACCATTCCCCTCTCTAACCCATGCTGCCACGAACGATTCGGTCTCGTCAACCTCTTCGCGCCAACACTTCCGCGCCGCTCCCTGTATTTCTTTCAAACTCACTGGTGGCTCTGCCAATTTTCCCATTCTTCCCCTCGTAAAGAGTTTATCACCGCGTCGAACAATGTATGGAAGCCGTCCCCGCCACTCAGGTGGCCCCCCCCCTTCCCCCCCCCCCAAATGCATTACTAAATCCCGCGGGTCTGTCGGCGTAACGGGCCTTCTTACTGTGGGGACTCCAGCCGAGCCTGTAACTGCTGAGCAAATCGGAATATGTCTTGCGAGCTTGTGGGTCAGGGTGGGCTGTTGCTATCATTTCAAGGTATTTGACATGATGGGCCTCCGGTGGTGGCCACGAAAACCAAGACCCGCGCTGTTCAAAATCCACTAGTAAGGCTCCTAGCCCACCTCCGTACTTTGTCAACAAGATGCTGTTAAGCTTGAGATCCGTATAAAACCGAGAAGGCGTGGACCGGATGCGTATCAGAGCGGCAATGATCTGGTTTACCCAGCGAATCCGGTCCCGAAAGGACACGCCTCGATTCGAATGAGCGCCCGTGATCAACGCATCACGCAGTGTTCCTCCTGTAAAATAAGGTAGGATGAATCCGCAGACGCCAACCTTACCGCCAAAGCGATTCTTCTTTGTTACCACGTACAGTGGAGCCGATATAATGTGCCCGTGTGGTGGTATTGTCATTGAAGTCTTTAATTCATGGTATAAATATTGTACGTCGTTCGTTACAGATTTGAATGCAAAGGTTTCGGAGCTAGGACAACTCGAAATCCGAACGATGGATATGGCTTCGTGGACCTGGCTGATCAACTTCAGCTCGTTGTGGTCCAGGATTGGCGGCCACTTCTCTGCCATGAGTTGCCACATGTTTTGCAGTTCACCAACGGATAGCCACTGTTCCTCCACGTCGTAATTTGGAACCATTTAAATCGGTATCTTCGTTATGTCGGCACGTATTTTGTCTAGAAACAATGCGCAAGCCAAAGGGAAGACTCATATATGTCGACTCAAATCCCTCGTCCGTCTTCGACCAAGAGCAGTGGGCCTGGATTATCAGTCTAGATATGCCTAAGTCCTTCAGCTCTTTCCTGGCCAGTTGCAATGCTTTGTGTGCTTGCAATACATTCCGAAGCTCAGGCGGGTGCGTTATTTGGTCCAGAATGTGAACATCGATCCGCAAAGGGGGTTTTCCAAATGCAAACTGTGGCAAGGCGAAGAACGGCGTCCCATCCGCCTCGCCGACAGATCCAAGTAGAAAGTCATAGCGGCGAATTTGCTGGAAGACGTCAGGAAGGACGCTAGGAAGCGCTTCAACCGATACCTCAAGGATGGAAGCCGCTTCGAGTATTATTTGATGCTTCTGGTTGGTAAAGCGCCGGTTGGCTGGCTGCCCGGTTCGTGGCTTCCCGACGCCAAGGTACCAAGGTACAAAGGCACCAGGTACGCAGGTACAGACGCATCGTGTCTCAAGTTGGTCGGTTAAGGCGTTCAGCAAGGCATGCGTACTTGATACTATTCACCGCATAGTCGGAGTTGGGGGATGGGGGAAGGAGGGGGGGGAAGGGGGGTATTGATGCGTCTCTGAATCGCCGACACAATCGCACCTACTAAGTCCAGCCCACAGCTTCTTCTTTCCTTATAAACCCAGTGTTCTCCCGCGTCCTGGGTCAGGAATTAGGATGTTGCTATGAGATTTAAAACGCGAGTCTTGGCTCTCCTCGTCACTATCGCAGCCATGTACGCATACTTTTCCTCCTTTTCCTCCTCTTTTTCCCCCACTTCGTCAAGAGAGCCAGCGCTCAATTTGATACTACGACCGGCGACCTACTCGGACCTCAATGCCATGACTGAGCTAGGTTTGGCGGCCCTCCCCGATGGCCCTACATGGCTGTACCGTTTCCCCAAGGCCAAACTACATCCAGAGGACCATTACAAATTTAGCCACCTTCGCTTCTCAGAATACCTTATCAATGTGGGAATTGGAGTATACGCTGTCGTGGTTGTCGAAGCCTCCAGCGGCGATGATCCGTCGTCGCCTAAAATCGTCGCCATGAGCATGTGGATACCCCCGAGGTCTCACCTGCCCAATCCAGATCGTGGTAGCTCCTTCCTTGCAACATAGATCGCCCACCCAACTCCCGGACTTGGCTAACGGCATGCCTCACCCTTTTGTAAGCGGTCGTAGGGCCCAAGCCCCCTTCCGACCACACTGAGCGCAAGAATGCCAACCGTCAGAGAATGGTGGAGTTCCGGAAGCAACTTGCTATCGCGAAAGGACGTCACTTCGATGATGTGTACGGCAATGAACAGTTGAACCTCATGATCCTTGCTACGCACCCAAGCTACCGTCGCCGCGGGGCCGGCACAATGCTGGTCAAGTGGGGCGTGGAGAAGGCTGAAAGGGAGCGCCTTGCAGTGACTCTCTTCTCTATTCCTACGGATTTAAGGCTTTATGCTCGCCTGGGATTCAAGGAAGTGACTACGAGGCACGTCCAGGTCGAGGGCGAGGAAGAGGCCATTGACCTACCTGCTGTTATTTGGGCTCCGCCAATCAACCAGTAGCTATAACGCTATGCTCTAAATGATGCAGAGCCGTTATGCGTTGAATGATACGCGCCGTGGGTAGTATAGCACGGAATGGGAACAGTGAGGTACAAATTAAATGAACAGCCGGCGAGTATAGCCCCTCTTTATGCCGATTAACTTAATCACGTCGACATTCTGAGTTGAGATAACTTCTTCCACATCCTTCTCGATGTCCAATGTATACTGTATCAAAGCACAGTTCGCCCGGAGCCTTTCCAGCTTCACTTACGAAGTAGTTCACCCAAGATTGACATCAGCAAAGGTCACCACATCATACCGTCGTACCGTCGTACCCTAGCAACCACGAGCTTTAAAGTTCATGTAGAAACTAACAGGTCTACGTCGTACGAAGTGACTTATCCATCCCGGCTAAACAGAAGGGCTAATCTTTATTCAACTATATCTTGGGCCTGGAAAGGTATCTGCTGTTTATATGTTTCCGTGTTTATACTATCGGGGAGACTATAGACCGTCTGACCATTACACGCCAGGTAAATTCCTCAGCTCCGGCAACGGAGAGCCTGTGGTATCAATTGAAGGCAAGATGGCATGGCATAACGCATAATCTACCTCGGTACTCGATGAACGCAGGGCGGAAGCAGATTTGTAATCTTAGGGTTTTCTCCCCACCTGTGCGGATAGCGCACTTTTGAGTGGTCTCGAGGGCCCATGATCTGCTCTTACTTTGATCATACCTCGCAGGAGTATGCTCACCAGCAGGACGAGATGAGCAGAGAAAGTTCACCAAACTGGTTCGCTTCGATCTCAGAGACGATTGCTGCATTCGGTTGGTTTGCATTTTGACTAACAGTTATTTGAATGATTGAGCTACTTACACAATGGGGCTAGCACGCGGTGAGTTCATTATCGTCCTCGACAACCCTGGCCGCGAGAATGAAGGTGACTTAATGATCGCGGCCGAGGATCTCACAACGAACAAGATGGCCTTCATGATCCGCCACACATCTGGATACATCTGCGCAGCGATCCCCGCGTCACGGGCTGACACGCTCGAGCTACCCCAGATGGTCGCCGAGAATGCCGATCCGACCCGCTGCGCCTACAGCATTACCATCGACGCTAAGAATCCCTCTATGAGCACGGGGATATCCGCAGCCGACCGAGCTCTGACCTGTCGGATGCTGGCAGACCCTACCATGACGGCAGCGAACTTTGGACGCCCGGGACATATCCTCCCCTTACGGGCTCGGGATCTCGGTGTAAGAGCCAGATATGGTCACACAGAGGCTGCCGTGGAGTTCTGTCGGCTATCAGGGAAGAATCTGGCTGGTGCCCTTTTCGAAATGGTGCTAGATGGTGAAGAAGATCCAACGGGGAAAACCGAGCGGCTGTATGCTGGGATGATGCGGCGAGATGATTGCATCGACTTCGGAAGGAAATGGGGTATCAAGGTCTGCACTATTGCAGATTTGGTCGCCTACGTTGAGGAAAAGGAAGGTCGGCTACTTGTCCCGGGTACAGAGTATTAGCAAGGCGATTGAGAAGAAAGGCACAAGCAACTGGCATCAGAGATATATCCTCGGATATCTCCAGGTTTTGGTAAGCGCTGGGGGCATTAGGTTGATATAAGTATCTGACGAGAGTATTGGACAAACACCACGAGCGCGTAATCGAGGCCTTTAGATGGAGAATTAGATCGGAGACTTTACTTTTTCCCAGCATTTGATAGTACGTCTAAAAGCGATTACCCTTCTCAACTCTTGTCCCATCACGTCAGAGTTTTGGCGCGGTATAGATTCATGAAAGTTGTGGGCGTTGACAAAAAAAAGGCCCTCTTTCCGGGGCCGATTGAATATACGTCCGAATACGAAATTGGACTTGAAAGCCGGCCTTGGTAGAAATTTGCGATCTCCTCGTCGGTTTAGGAAGGTCCCAGTTGTTGGTATCTAGTATAAAGCAACCTAGCTTACGGCCCAAACAGGTTCGAAGGATAATGAAGCAGTGGTGTCGGTACTGAGTTGAGGGTAGGGGAGCGTGGACAAGGGACGCAACCTCAACAGGTTGGGTATACTTGACAAGAGCTCATTATATCAGCTCCGCAGGCAGCATCTCAATGCTTCAGATCGGATCTCTACTCTCCAGATTGCTCTTCGGCTCTTCGTTCCTAGCATCTACCTCGATTGCGTCCTTTGAATTAGGTCGGTCATGTTCATTCCCCACCCCCCACGATGGTAGCCTGACAGACTTGGCGGCAGCTGGAGATGTCTAGTCTCATGAGTCCTGAGGCGTGGTTTTCTCATCACAGTTGGAATAGTACAACGCAGACAGAGGGCGGATTTTCCCATAGTCATAAATCTGCAGGGGAGGATGGGATCATGGCTTGTTCCAGGGTCGACTTAGTATCCTGCGGCTGCAATTGAGCGAGGCACATTTCCTTGGTGATGGATTGACATTGTCTTGTCATCACATATAGACTATTGTTGTCATCCTCATTCTACGCAACCATTTCCCTGCTTTCTAGCTTGGCAATTATGGTCTTTTGTATGCACCGCTCCAGTGGCTCCTTGATACCTAAACATAGCCTCAATGGCCAATTCATGGACATGAATGTTGAGTCCTATCAGGACGAGACGGAGGACTGTTTCCATAAAGCGGGAAAACACCACTAGCAGTATAAAGCGCCAAGCAGAGGGTGAATGACGGTGGACCTGAAACATGGAGCATATCTGATAGCTGCCTGAGGATCAACTCTTTCCCACCTCGACTATCCACTAGATAGCTTACTTTCTACTATCGATGGGGCACTCAAACTTCGTGAACCATAAAGTACACTCCGTAATCTGTGTCGCCCCCATGAGCAGTGGCATCTTGAACAAGTCAATCAACCTCTCTAAATCCGAGTCTCAAGTACAACCCCCTTGCAGCTTTGAACGCAAATATTGGGATGCCTAGCTTCTCAGCGACTGTAATGCTACTCTTCACTAGTTCTATTGCGATTCCTTGCCCTTGGTGGTCTGGGTGGAAAGCTAGATAATCGAGTTCTGCGGATCCCCCGTATTAGCCTCGCATGATCAGGTCGATGTGTAAACGCTTTCTCTTTCTGTGCCATTGTCCTGTTTCCGAGTACCTGTTACTAGAACACTTACGTATGTGATCCCGCTCAGCTAGAATGCGATTCATAATCGCCTCGTTCCTATTATCCAACTCACCCATATCGTTCCTGGCGTCCCACCAAGTCGACTGGGCACGTTCCTCGACTTCCTTTCTTTGCTCGGCACTCACATCAGGCCCTGTGCTTCAAGCCATTGGGATTCTCTCCCGCTCGGGAGTTCCCATCGTGCATACCCGACAAGACAACCGGAGTCCGGATCGACCGCCTTCTGCTGACGCATAGCCCGGCGGTCTTTGAGTATCCGCAACGGCATGCATTTTACGAGTTGCTCTATTATGAACTCCTCTTCCATGTCCTTGGGCCACACTATCCTCCACATTGGTTGACTCCAGAAGGCACCCCCGTTGTTGCGGGCGAGCGCGGGGGCATCGTCCAAGACGCAGGACTTTATTCTCCAACGTTCCATACTTGTTCAGAACTTAGTCAGCCTGCTGAAGATGGGCTATGTCGACAGAATTTCCTATCTTTTGAAGAAGGATCTACTGAGATTTGTCGAGGTTTGGAAGACTCGACATTTATAAGTAGTTCGTGATCGGCCAAGGAGGGGACGTTCACGGGTTTGCAATATCGCACGAACTCCAGGCAGCAACATTTGGGCTGGGAATGCTTTGTCAGGTTATTAAGATCGATCTTCACGGGCCTCTATGTTGGCTGCAGCATACAGGCATAACCAATATTCACTACTTCGTAGATTAAGGGCAGTTAGGAATTTACCGTCCGCCACCACTGAAAGAAACTACTAAAATCAACAAGAGCAAAATCAGGTCAGCTATACAATTTTCCCCACCTTCATTAATTGCCTGCATGGACATGTTGGCCCACATGTAAAAATGGAACCTAATATTTCAGGCGGAAACTAAGTGGAAATCGGTGGCTATTTAAGGAAGGTAATTAGGGGCTGGAAATAGAGGAAATTTCAGTTTTAGAACAATTACAGTTTTCACATATACTATTTCTAGCCTCTAATTTGATGCTGATATTTAAATAATTAAGAGTCTTATTCCTTTCCTATACCCTAGACACCTGCTAACTACTTTTATATAAGAAATACTATAGAAAAGAGATATTAAAATGTCTAAAAAGGTATCTAAGAGGATTAGACTTTTTAGAAAAGGACTTAAAATAACTCCTAAATGTAAAATAAACCTTAGACTAAGACTAAGTGCAATCTAGCTTAAGATATTCTATATATTTATATATATATCTAGCTTTAGCTAAAGAAAGTTTCTTTTTTTAAGAAAAAAGAACTTTTAATTTTATAACTATATTTATTATACTAAATCTACTAATAATAGCTAATAATATCCTATTAAGCTAGTTAAATTAAATAATTATTATTATTTTTAAAAGTTAAGATAATTAGGAAAGCTAGAAGAACTAATTTAAGAGTTTATTTTTTAATAATAATATTAGAAAATATTTTTAAGAAAGAAAAACTAATTAAAAGGCTAACTTTTCCTAAAAAGGAGACCTTTATTAATAATTATCTCTATATTTCTAAAGTAATAATAATTAGAATAATATTATAGCTAAGAAATCTTAAATTATCTAAAAAAGGCTTAAAATAGTAGGAGTTTTATTATTTAAACTATAAATTCTAGCTAGCTAAATTTAAGGAATAAGAAAAGAAATTAAAGAAAGTAAAGAAGGAAATCTAGAAGATATTTTTTACTCCCTTTTTTAATATCTATTATATTTAAATTCTAATTTAGAACTAATTTAAAAACCTAAAAAAAGTTATTAATACTATTAAGCTTAAAGAAATTATAATAGCTACTAATAACTACTTTAAGGTAGTTAGCTACTTATCTAGATTACTAAAGGATTAGAAGGTATAGTTTAC